ATGCGACGGAGCAAATCAGGCAGCGCCAAAAACGTGTCGTCACAGCGGGCCGAGATCCCGTCACCTTTTTTCTGTGCTGTCTGTGATCCTTCGACTCGCTTATCACCCGGGCAAAAAATGCTGAGTCACTGAGCTGTGAACGTAAGCGCAGAGTCTGCTATATCTCACGGCAGAGCTACAGTGCATGCGCAGAGCCGTGTATGTAGAGAGTTTGGTCAATGGGAGGCGCGGGCGGAGCCAGGGCGTGCGCTAGACTCGGAAAGAGGGCTTGGCATGCTCTCTCAACCAACCGGAAGCCGAAAAGAATCCTCTAGCGGTGGTAGCGAGAAACAGTTCTGATCAAAGGTCTATGTTCGTAAATGGTTTTAATAAGTGCGTAAGAGTGAAGTGTAGTAACTCTTCGTGGTTGAAAATAGGGTGCACGTGTTGTTTTAATCAGGATCATGCAGAAGGATGTAAGAAACGAATGCGCCGCTCAACTCTGTTTTGCTCGGACAGAGTGTGACCGCTCGGACGGCAGATTCCCGGCCGTCGGAGCTTGGCGTACGGATTATGTCGATCGTTCCGCTAGTCGCACTCCTCCACCATTATTTTGGATGAGCGTGATTGAAATATCACGTGTACCATATTTTCAGTCATCGTGAGTTAGTCTAATGCAGTTATCAGGTTTGTTTCTCGCGACCACCACCAGGGTATTATTTCTGGCTTCTGGTTGGTCCCATTCGAATTTCTGAAGACGCCCTGAAACACGCCCAGTCCGCTTTCAGCCAATGGCGCCTCCTCATTTGTCTCCTATACTTCCCAACGAATGGCCAAACTCTCTACATTTACGGCTCTGTGCATGCGCAGGGGGCGATTCTTGCAAAGGTCTATAGTCCGCACATTTCTGTTTGACTGTGAACTGTGACCGACTGTGTTACCATGACTTGAGGTCGCTTTTATGACGAAAGAACAGACTGGCACACCCCAGCGCCACCTGTCAAGCATAGCCCTGGAAACCCCCGCGATCTGCGTACATACCCTGGGTATCCATCTAGTAATGCTATTGGCGAGGAGATCGAACTAGGGAGGGGGGGGGGGGGGGGGGGGGCGTTTTGTCCATCTCATTTTCCACAGAGCTCGGTGTTTGCCCAACACGAGGCCTGTGAACTGGATCCGTTACGTCATCTACCATGCACGATCAAGTGCCGAACGGAAATTGGACGCGAGTGCCGTGTTAGCGTTCGGCCGAGAGTCGTGTTCGGTTGCTGCTTCACTGTTCGAACGCTGAACGTCAGCCGAGCGCTGCGTAAGAAACTCAAACGAATAACGCTCGTTCTTGTCGTTGTTCTCGTGGATTTCGTTCTCGAAATGGAACATCCCAATTCCATTTTGTGGATCATGTTATAGGAATCAATTTATTACGTATGGCTTCCCGGTCTTACTAAACAAACTAACCGGACATAACGCGAGAATTAATTTCCAATAAATCACTCGAACAGTATAGTCGCATTGCTCTCAATATATGAATTATTGGTCTTAGTATGTACTTATTCGCTACCTAAATTGCATTCTATTCTTTATCGAGTGTCATCATTATTTATGCATCATTTAAACTCTTGCCTGTTTTGATTTCTTATTTCTCTTTTTTTTATTTTTAAAACTTTTTTTTTTAGATATGTTTTTAGTGTTCGATCTGCAGACTTTTAGATTGTTTTATTTAAGAACTCTTCGTTGTTCGCTTTTTAGTGGGGATATTGTAATTTCTCAACTCTCAACACTAGTAGTTCCTAATGTGCTTGCTGGAATGCATTTTTGTGGTATAAGATGTTTAGCGTTGTAATCGATTATTTATGTCTTAGATTTATGGGGTATATATGCTCGTGTTGTCCCATCTTGCCAACTGCCTTCTGGGGCAGACATTAGGGAGTTTTCGTAGACCGCGTTTCTCCCTCTGCTAAGCCCTCCGCAACGAAGAAGCCGCTACTGCGCCTGTGCGCCGATGGCTTTGACTGTAGAGCTCGGGCTTTCGGGTATCGTAGCGGGTTGCGGAGAGCATTGCGAGACGGCAAAAACCATCTACGAAAACTCCCCATTGTGAAGTTGCTACACAATGACTTGTTGCTCGGCCTCCTACTCCGCGGGAGAAAATAAATTTAAGCCTTTATTTCCGGAGTCATGCGGTTTAGAGGAGCTCGTTTTAGCGAACGCCGTTTTACCGACCCCAGTTCATCGATTGCCTTTATAGAGAAACCAAGTTTAGAGAAAATGGCGATGAGCCTCCTTTTAGCAAATTCGGTCGCCGCGAAGCGCCGTGTGCGGATAAGTCTGGTGAGTTAACATGTTTGTAATGAGCCGCCGCAGACTGCCGCCGCGAAGCGGCGGGAGCGCAGCGGGGGGCTTGGGTTAACACGCGCACCAGCGATACACGCGCGAAGTAGAAAACCTTTTTTTTTTCAATGGCGTCCCCTTTTCGATAAACGGCGTTTCTCTAAACTGAGACTCTGCTTTCTCTAAACTGTGCTTCGATAAAGCGTGCCCGTTCTCTAAAACGTGCTTCGACGAAATGGCATTCTATCAACCGTAGTAAACCCCTTTATTTCAACCTAGCCGCTTAAAAAAACGGAGCATAAATCAATATTCCTTTTTTTAATAGAACGCAACCACTTGATTTATCCAGTCATAGAAGACAGAAAACCACTTGATTAAGCCAATTATAGAAGACAAAGCCTGCGCGCGACTACGTCGTTAGTTGATCTCCAACCTGCCCCAGGTGGCAAACTCGAATGAGAGCCGGCAGACGCGTTCGTCTTTGCGTCGCCCCGTGCACGCTCTGGCGGCCAACGCAGGTCAAAGTCAGTTGACAAGCTTCCTAGAACGTCTGGCGCCTTTTCGTGGCGCTTAATTGCTATACCCTATCAGCCCGCCCAATGGACAGAAGCATAGAGTTATTACAATAAACGCTAGAGGCTCCGCTGGCGCTAGTGTCTACGGGACTTCCGGTTGTAAATTGAAGCAGACAGCATGCAGTCTACTTTTCCCGTCTTCCTGTGTATTCCTATGGGAAAACGCGCGTGAATTTTGTCTCGTCGCCGGAAAAAAACATAAATAACTTTTGTTATTTCGATTGTACCGGATAGTATGTACCTTTATTAATATTGTGAAAGTGTAATTGCTTTAGTTACAGCATTTTTTTCTTTACCACTGAACGATGTTAAACATCGCTATATTTCAGGCCCAAACCTCTGTTTCATGGCAGGTATGTAGAAACGAACGACGATTCCAAGCAAAATAACGATCGAAAGGAATGTAGAGTGTGTTCAAAGTTCGCCAGCATTTCGTTGGTGCTTATATATTGCTAATATGCCTGCCCTCTCACTATATGAAAATGCCCCCGTTGTGCATCTTTACGAGTGGTTAAAAAAACGTTTGAAACGTAAATAATAAAGTACGTGGGCTACGAAATGTGTATTTTCTTATTATTTCCTATTTTGGGCAGTTTTTATCGCGCACCTGTTCTCTGGCTTTCCCCTATTTGCAAAGATTTGGAGCGTGCGGGTGATGATTTGAACAGAGAACAAGCATCTTCGCATGTATTCATGAGCAGAAAGAATAAAGCAGTACTTATTTATTGCAAATCAAACTATATTACGTGACTTTCAATTTATTTTGATCGTCTGCAAGCACAAGGAGTTACTTATCCAGTGTTACTGCGTAGTTCTTGCCGTCTCTCTTGGGTTTTCACACTTCGTTTGGCACGTATACCCCCATGCTGGAAGGCGCCGGCGCCGTGTTCGCGCTAACAGTGTCCGACAGTGCACATAAATACATGTACGAAGCGGTTTTTGCACCGTTTGTCATGCCACGATTTTAGAATAAAAACGCCATAACTGACCATTTATTTCATCTGCGTGTCTGGGAAATGTTCCAATGTGCCTAGTAGGTACGAATTATTCGTGATATTTGCTCTTATAATCGAGCGCTGAGAGGAAATGCACTCGATTTTTTCCGTAGAAATGCATTACCGGAAGTCAATTTCGGACTGCTTGCTGTCTGCTTCAATTTGCAACAGCACACTAGCGCCAGTTGAACCTCTAGCGTACATTATAATAACTCTATGGACAGTAGCCGCAGAACCCTCGTGTAACGTTGGATGCACATTATATTTATGGTAGAAAGGGATTATATCGTGGTTTTTATTGTAAACACGAATTTTTCGTACAAATTAGGCGCAAAAAGAGCGTCGTTCGAAATCGATCTTTCTTCGTTGCCCGTGGAGGCGTTGACGCTTGCAGGAACGCTATCCGCCCGACGGCTCTGTCCGCCCGTATACATACCTAAAGCCCCTCGACGTGTTTATGTTTGTATTGCAAGTAGCGTCTATACTCCGTTCACCCTCAAGCCGAGAATACAAACTCCGCCTTCAGCGCGAGCTTTCAGCGCTTCGTAACACAAGTCTGAAAGCGCAGGCACGCGCAACAAAAGCACAGCGGAAGACAGCGAGCTCGCGCTGTGCACGAGCGGCCCTTGGAACGCTCGTGGCACGTATCTCGAGCATCTCCACAACAGTGCACGTTGGCGGTACTTGTAAATAACGCCATTATCAAGGGTATTCACTGGACGCCACGATGTTTAGAGCGCATGTTCAGAACGAGCTCACATTAATTGTCTGCTGAGACCGGCAATCTTGATGTTGAGGAATGCGCGTTGCAAAAGAACTGCGGAAGCTCGCCGTCAGCCCGCGCTCCGCAGCCGCACGCACATATATGGCCGCCAGTAAATAATCCCTACACCTGCTCGCATGCAAGAAACAAGAGAGAACTGATTTCGAACGCCGCCTTTCCATGGAGTTTGTCAACTGATATATCTAAGAACTTGCTGGCAACGACGCTGACGCAAGCTATATAGGCGGCGCGGCTGGTATGACTAGTGATGACGTTTTGGGATTAAAGGCGAAGGCCTTGTCTTCTAGATAACATTGATTTATTCCGCACGGCTTAGAACCATTGTCCTTCCTTCAGGCATCGAGTGCGACGACTACGGCTGCCGGAGACATGACCAAGAGCCGTTGCTGCGACGACGACTTCTCGGCCCTCTCCACGAAGCTCCGCTGTCTCCTGGTCGTGGCCGTGGTCCTGATTGTTCTGACGGCCGTCTTTCTACCCCTCTACTACCTCGTGTTCAGGCCCTACTTCGCGCAGTTCTGGACCACCCTGTTTGGATCGCCCGCCCCTGGCTCCCACCCGGATGAGACGGCGTCGGAGGTGCCCCTCTGGCAGGCGCAGTGCCCGGAGGTGAGCGAACCCCGTTTCGTGTACGTTGCGCATCGAAGAAGCTGCTTGAGGAAAAATACAAAACGCAACAAGAAACAGATACGACGCTTTTCTCGTTTCTTTCAATATTCGTGTTCAACAATCACAGCACAACTCGGATATTATTCTCAGCATTTCACTTGCTCCCTGTAGAGGTGGTGGTTTCTCTTCATTATTTTTGAGAATAGTCAAGATAGCATCCTACGCTCTGCTTGTTATGTGTCTGTCGGCGCTTCGTCCGGGTCCCGGGAAGCGTTTTCAGAGACTAACCGCCAAATTCAGAAACCTCACTCAAACTACACTCAAACTGAAGGGCCCCTGCACTTCCTCGAGAAAGGCGCGAGGGCCGGCGCTGGTCAATCGCGACGGCGGATCCGTCCTCACGATTGGCCAGCGCCGGCCCTCGCGCCTTCCTCGAGGAAGTGGAGGGGCCCTTCAGTTTGAGTGTAGTTTGAGTGAGGTTTCTGAATTCGGCGGTAAGTCTTGGTCGTACGCGCGCGTGCGAGACAGAGTTATGTTTTCGCGGATTGTTTGTGGGCATGTTGCTTATAGTGTGTGTGCGGGCTTTCTTGCCCCTACGTGCCTAACCTCGGTTTCCGAAATCGCGGGAAAGCACCGCTTTTCCGCGAGAGGCCGTTGCCCCCGAGTTTGCGATCGTCTGTACCTTGACCCTGAAGCACAGAGCCATACGTAAATTCATCGAGGAACCCGGGGCCGAGAGACAAATATGTCGACTGGCGTTAAATCTTTCGCTGAGCCGGAGAGGAAGTGCCCCTTGATCTTGGAATCGTACCTCCGCCGTGACGCTCGCAGGCCAGGCACGATACTCTTGTATATGCCTGGGGCACGTTCCTTTTTACTTGAGTTTTGTCCATCTGCGCTTCTTGGTCGCATAAACGTGCGCCGGTCGACATATCTCGCCGGTTCTCGCCATGGTTCGGGCCTGTATATTTTCCGCAGAATGCATGGTTGTACTTGTCAGCGACTGTCAAGTCTTCCCGTAAACTACGGTCTAAGTGCTTCGGGGGCAATTTGACCCAGAGGCTTGCGTCGGGACACGTACACTAATGTTTTGTGTACGTCTGGCCCGTTTTGATGTTTTGCGTTTTCGCGTCCACCCACACATTGTGGTGGGATTTTGTCGCCCGGCGAGGCACGTTTCCGTGACTTTAGCGAACCCGTATATTTTCTCCGGCCTGTAAGCAGAACAGCTCTCAGGGAACCAAGGAGAGAGTTTTCATGACTCCACGTAGCGATCTCGAAAGTGATTCGCTTAGCGTGTGTTGGCGCATGGAACTAATTGCATGTTTTCAGTTCCCTGATTGGACGGCCAGGGCTTCCGACAAGCTGTTTTAATTCCTGACCGGATGGGCCATCGTTCAGTTTGAAACGAGCTCACGCGCGACCATTTAAAGTTCAACTCCCGCAGTGCGCCGCGTACCCTGTCGTGCGCGACAGGTACTTTGTTCAGTGTCTACGAAGTAGCCGCCTTCCTCACCGTGCGCGGTAGGACACCTGACGTCGAGGCGTCCTTTATTTTGTAGCCGTGCGCAGCAGTCTGTCCAAGTCTTCATCTCTTTTTTTTTATCTGCAACCTGGAGTTGAAGTGAAGTTTTTGTTGTGTGTTTGTAATTGTACACGAAGCCTCCGATTCATATCTCTCATCGCCGACAACCAACCCTCCAGCAGCTAGCTTCATCCACGATCCCTGGTCCCGCAACGGCAGTCACCCAAAGTGCTCATCGAGGTCCGGCAAAACAACCTAAACATCACTACTCCCTCTTAAACCTTTTTTTAACATTCACCCTGCCGTAACAATTACAGTAATACCTTTCGGTATTGAGTACCACAAAATACTCAAAATAAGTGTTCCGATTTTTTTTTTTGTGTGTGTAAACGTACCGACAAATTTTGTAGCACGAATATTACGTTCTTGGCTTGTGGACGTATGTGTCTCGCTGGTAAAATGTCAAAGGTCACCTGCGGCAGGAAACGTCACATTTTGTCGTTACACTTTTGCGTGTCGCTCGGAATCCTTTCTGCGAGCCCAAGAACATAATCTACGCTAAAACAACGACTTACTGTCCTGGTCAGTAGAGTACAAAGAAACCTCCTAGGAGGGACCTTGTGATTCCCTTAACTTCATATTTCTTGCGACTTCATCGGTGGGGGAATAGACATCATAGTTACATCTACACGCCAACGTCGTCAGCTTCAGCGACTTTTTTTTAGCTTGAACTTCTTTTCAAATTCTTGACATATGTCGGCCTGTTCGGCAGGCTCTAACATTTCTTCATGGGGATCCATCCCACAAGGAGCATAGGCGCTCTGTCAAACGTATCTGTACACATAAGTGTGTGTACTTGGGCGCTTGTGTTTTCATATTTGCAATTCTGTTATCACAACTATACCATTGCTTTTCCACTTTTAGTCTTCCTTTTTCTTCTATCTCTACGCCTCTTTCTTTTCTTTTTGAAAGAAACAATCCTGCAACCTCTGCAGGAACATCTCTCTCACCTCTACGCCTCCCCCCCCCCCCCCCCTTTCTCCCTTTCCCGCCACAGCAGATCGGAGCACGTGGAGCGAAAGCTCGATGTGCAGAACCCCTGGGTTCGATTCCCCCCTCTGCCGGTTTTGACCGGGATGTGTGTTGTACGGGCGTGCAGTCTTGTATTGTTACTGCATGATGTGCGTTGATGGTCCCAGGCTAGCAGTCATGCTGCCCTGGTTAAATATCTCAACTCTAGCAGATGCACCGGTCGGCCGTTCAGGCTGACTAACTTTCCGCTCTCTAAACGGCTCACAATAAAATTTTACTTAATTAGTTGTTTTGGCCCACCCTATTGGGGCGCTGCTTGCGGCACAGGTGCCTGTGCTGGAATGGAACCGTTTCGACTGCTACCCGGACGACCCCAAGGTGACCCAGAAGCGCTGCGAGGAAAGAGGCTGCTGTTGGGTGCGCACAGACATCGACGCGGCAGTGGACAAGGAGCGCCTCGGCAAGAGGGAGTTCTTCAGGTGGGTCAATTCTCACGGGAGATAAGATGACATCATGCGTGGCGAGTAAGGTTCCGAGATTACTAGTATATAACCGAGAAACGGCAAGCAGACATGGCTTCACGAACTGATATATTTTCTTGTCTCTCTGTTTCTCTCCTTTTTAGTTTCCCTCGTTCTATACCAGCGTTTCTAGCCGGTACCTGTTGTGACCGTAGGCGTCCGAGTGCGACCACATGGTCGCCAGGCAGAAGAACACAACCACCCTGTGTGACAGCTCGTCAAAAAGTGCCTTTAATCGTAAATCAACAACCGGAAGAAGCTTCGCTTCCGGTAAGCCCGCAGCACGACACATGTGGTGCCATCTATTGCCAGATGTCCTCACTACATCTCCCCTTCCAGCTCGAGGGAGCTTTACCTCGTGCTTTCACAAGTTCAGTCTTTGAGGAGGCTTGACTTGCCGCCCCGAACGTGTGACGCGTATACCCGGTGGGGGAGACTGCCGTGTAGAACTGGGCACCACCGCTGAATCGCCTGTTGGTCTTTCGGCTACAGGAACTGGCCCGTCTGAAGTTGCAGGCTGGGTACAAACTAAGTCGCTTGGCTGGCGGGGAGTACTGGGCGTAAACGGCACCAAGTGGCGACGGTTGCGCTGGACAACACCCCTTGGCGTCTCGACCACGTAGGAGCGCGGCCGCTTGGCCGGGCTCAACACCCTAGCAGCACATGGTATATCTTGTACCCACACCTCTTCCCCTGCTTCCAGAGGGCGCAGTGACTGGGCGGCGTGACGCCTGTTGAAGTCCTTGCGTTGATGGCTCTTCACGCTCTGGTCCCTGCTCTTGACGAGCTTTGGCGACGGCCACTTCGGCATCAGCGATGCAGGTAACCCTGGCAGCCTGGTCCGGAGACGACGACCCATGAGCAGCTCCGAAGGGCTGTAGCCGGTCACTCCGGGTGTGTCCCGGTACACCAGTAACGCCATGTGCGGATCCTCTGCCTTCACGAAGAGCTCCTTCAGTGTTCGAACCATGCGCTCTGCCTCGCCATTCGCTTGCGGGTACCTCGGACTGCTCGTGCGGTGGGCGAACCCATACAAGGCTGCAAAAGAGGCAAATTCCGTTGACGAAAACTGCGGACCGTTATCAGAGACCACAGTCTCCGGAATCCCACAGCGGGCAAAGGAACTCTTCATAGCCGCGATGACGGAGCTTGATGTTGTGGTCACAAGACTGACCACCTCGGGGAAACGGGAATAGTAGTCAACCATGACCACGTAGTTGCGTCCTGGCAGCTCAAAGAGGTCAACCCCGATACGTTGCCAGGGGCGATCGGGTGTAGGAGTCCCGAGAAGCGGCTCGCAGCGCTGAATTCTTGTTTGGGCACAACGTTCACACGTCCCCACCAGTTGCTCCAGCTCGCTGTTCAAGGTTGGCCACCACACCGAGTCGCGAGCCCTTGCCTTGCATCTTCCCACGCCTTGGTGGCCCTCGTGGAGTAATGTTAGCATCTCCTTCTGAAGAGTCTGAGGAACCACGATGCGACAGTCCTTCAGCAACAGGCCCTCGAAGGCTGTGATGTTGCCTCGCTCCTTCCAGAAAGCCCTAAGATGAACTGGAACGTTGGACACCTTCTTGGGCCACCCATCCTTGCAGAATCTGAGTAGGCCGGCACAGACTCCATCCTGTGCTTGGTGCTGGCGAAGGCGATCGAGGCGAGTGGATGCAAGACTTTCGATGTCCTTGAGCAGTGACCCAACGAAGAGCTCGACGGTGTCTACTTTGGTGTCGGCAGCCTGTACAGGAGCTCGGGAAAGGGTGTCTGCTGTCGCCAGGAGCTTCCCCGGTACATAGAGAACGTTGTACTGGTAGGCCATAAGCCGCATCCTCAGGCGCTGAATGCGAGGAGGCATAGTGTCCAGTTCCGCAGATCCCAACAGAGTGACGAGGGGTCGATGATCTGTTTCGACATCAAACCTGATGCCACGGACGAACTGGTCGAACCTTTCAACGGCCCATGTGACGGCCAGAGCCTCTTTCTCCGTCTGGCTATACCGGGTTTCTGTTGGTGTAAGAGATCGCGAAGCGTAGGCAACGGCACGACGCTCTCCCGATGGTTGGTCCTGTAGCAGAACGGCTCCCAGTCCATACGAACTTGCATCAGCCGACACTGTGGTATGGTACGAAGGGTCGTACTTGGCCATGCAGACCTTGGAGCTCAACATGCCCTTAAGACGATCAAAGGCAGACTGCTGACTGGGCCCCCAACACCAGGCACTGTTCTTTTGGAGAAGAGCACGAATCGGCGTAGTCACGTCGGACAGGTGAGGAAGAAAACGGCCTACGTGATTAGCCATGCCGAGAAGTCTCCTGACACCACTGACGTCCGCTGGGGCCTCCAAGTTGACCAGAGCCTGGACCTTGTCTGGATCGGGGCTGATACCGTCTGCACTGACTGTGACTCCCAAGAACCTAACAGTGGACGCTGAAAAGACGCACTTGGCTCTGTTCAGTTTCACTCCGGCACTGCTGAGGCGACCCAATACTGTTGCAAGACGCCGGTCATGTTCCTCTTGGGTGCGTCCGAAAACCAATATGTCGTCGATCATGTGGACGACTCCGTCGAGACCCTCCAGGATCCTCCCCATTTGCCGTTGGAAATACTCCGGAGCGGAGCAAATTCCAAAAGGAAGGCGACAGAAGCAGTATCTGCCGAACGGGGTAATGAAGGTCGTGAGGAGCTGGCTTTCGGCAGATAGCTTGATCTGGTGAAAACTGGCTGTAGCGTCGAGCTTGGAAAAGATCCGTGCAGGACCCAGACGTCCCAGGATGTGCTCCACCGATGGGAGGACGTGACGCTCCCGCTGGACCACCTGGTTAAGGCGTGTGAGATCGACACAGATCCGGTAACCTCCAGAGGACTTGGGGACGACAACGATACCAGGACACCAGTCCGTCGGATCGTCGACTTTGCGGATCACACCGTCAGCTTCTAGCTTATCCAGTTCTTCGCGGACAATGTTATGAAGGGGAATCGGAATGCGGCGAGGAACGCTGAGGGAGAACGGCTGTGCTCCTGGCTGGAGTCGAATCACATACTCGTCCTTCAGCTCACCCAACCCTTCAAAGATGTCGCTGTGAAGAGGGCTCTGCTGGTTGAGACTGGAGAGGGCGTCAACGAACTTCACCACACCCAGCTTCTGGATGGCAGGAAACCCCAAAAGAGGCGGGTCTTGCGACGGCAGGACGTAAACCCGCTCCACTACCGACTTGCCTTTCCAAGTCAATGTGGCTTGGAAGGTACCGAGAACTGTCAATGGGTGATTGCCCGGTCCAGTGAGCTGCCCTTCAGGCTCTTGGAGACTGCGAGGTGCTCCGGGAAAAGTGCTTGGCACCACCGTGACTTCGGCTCCGGAGTCCACTTTGAAGTCGACGTCGTACCCGTTGACGGCGACCTTGACAAACTTCGCTCGGCCCGCGGTCGAAACGGCATGTAGATGAACAGTGCTCAAACTTCGTTTCCGCTTCTCGCAGACATCTTCGAAGTGACCCAGGCGTCGACAGTAGTGACACTTGGCTTGTCTAGCCGGGCACTCGTTACGGGGGTGCGCTTGACGGCCGCAGAATCTGCAGTTTTTGCTGCCTTCTCTCGGCGACGACGCCGAGTCTCGCTTGGGAGACGTCTTGGGGGCCGGTTTCCTTCCTTTCTTCACACGTGCTTCATCAAGCTTGAGCTGCTCCGGTGCGACGGCAGCTGTCTCGTCCCGAAAAACGGTCGCCCGCGCCTTGACGGCGTCTTCGTGGATGCGTGCTTGAAGCCGGGCCTCGGCCATGGTGAGGGTCGGACAGCGGCAGAGCTTGTCAGAGAGTCTCGAGTCGAGAAGTCCTACGACGAAGCGGTCTCTAACGAGCCTGTCCTCGACCTCTGTGGACGGATAGTTGCACTTGCGGACGAGTGCTCGAAGGGCCGTGTAAAAACTGTCGACGGTTTCCCCTCGTTCCTGGACCCGCCTGTGAAAAAGCACGCTCTCGTACACTTCGTTCGGTAGATGTACAAAGTGCGCCTTGAACTTGTCTGTTACCGCAGCGAAGGACCGCCATTCCTCTGCGGTGAGGCCTAACGTCTCAAGAACACGCCGCGCCTCTTCGGATCCCATAGTGTACAGTAACGTCCGCACCTGAACTTCGTCCGACGCTTGGTAAAGGCCTGACGCAAAGCTGAAGTCTTCGAATTGTAGAAACCATTGCGGCCACTTGTCGGGGTTTGCGAAGTCGAATTTGGGCGGTGGAACCAAGCTCGGGAGTGAGACGACGGGGGCGGTGGCGGCGGCAGCTTCCGTTGTTCTCTCCTGCGACATGACGAGGAACGCAGCGACGGTGACGAGAAGACGGAAAGCGTAGCAGCGTGCGACGCAGAGACGACGAGAGGCAGGGCTAGCTGTGAGCATAGCAGCAGCGAGGAGGACGTCAGACCGGGAGGCCGGCCACTTCTGACACCATGTTGTGACCGTAGGCGTCCGAGTGCGACCACATGGTCGCCAGGCAGAAGAACACAACCACCCTGTGTGACAGCTCGTCAAAAAGTGCCTTTAATCGTAAATCAACAACCGGAAGAAGCTTCGCTTCCGGTAAGCCCGCAGCACGACACATGTGGTGCCATCTATTGCCAGATGTCCTCACTATATTCAAGATGGCCCAGTTCTTGCAACAGTACCCCACGTTCTCTTTCTCGGCCTTAGCGTTAGTATTAATGAAGTGTTCGACCAGCAAGAGCCCGATGACGTGAACTTACTTGGAGAGGCTAGTTGACTACTTCGTAAGAGATGGGAAGAGTTAGGCAAAGAACACAAACATAATCACTGTTTGAGATAGAGGGGCAATGCAGCGCTTTTATACTTTGCGCAAGAACAAAAACCGCTTAGAACGGGTTTTTGACGTTCATGACGTTTTTCACTACACGCAATCGAAGTCGCAGAAAAAATTAAAGAAAAACGAGCAGCGTTCACCTACTCAACTCGCAGCCAGAACAAGTGGCCACGTGATCTGGAGCCGATTATATGCCGCCAGTATTGATCATAGCCGTGAGCTGGGGTTGGCAAGGCACAGGGCACGCGCTGAGTTCCAGACATTGTCAGGGTTCGGCTATTGTCGCCATTGTAGCGATTGGACACGGATCGCTACCCGAATGCTTGTTGAGCTATCGATTATCACGAGCCCAAATAGAGTGCCCACATAATGCTCGAGTCCGATCTATGAGCCCCATTCAAATATCGTCACTGGGTGGTACTGAGACCGCCCAGCTACGTCATCAAGTTTTGCGAGGGAGAGATTTAATGAAAACGCTCTGTTTTGGCCTTGAAATTACACCGCAACAAAGGAATTTCTTGGCCAGTGGCGTTGCGTGCAAGTATCCTTCAGTCCCACTAGCGCCAGTAAGCTCGTGTAAAGTGAAAAACATTCCAATTGAATATCGTTGCACCGCCCCTTTAATGTGCTCTAAACATCGCTGAAATGGTAAAGCAAATATGGGGCCAAAATAATTTTTTTCGCGAAGTAATTGAATTTACAATTTTGGTCCTCACCGTGTTTTTCAAAGTGAAAGTTTTTACTGGCAACAATGAAAAAGTGACGTCAGTGAAAGGAAGGGATTCACTCTTTGGATTTTAGACATTGTCCCCAACTGATTAGATTCGGTTTCATGGTGCCAAATGAATTCTTTGAAAGTCCGCTCCAGCACCGTCACAGCAGCTCGAAACAAATGCTCGGCATCGTCCATTTTTAGACTGCCCGCTCGACCTGCAAGCCTGCCTACCCCTGACGTCACGACATTGAAAAGCGCGGGTATATTTGAGTGTTGGTTTTGGCATCGTTTTCACTTGCCGATTTCACAATACCTATTCTGAATTTCGCGATACTAAATAGCATACCGGAAAGGGTAAAGGCCGGTGATTCCGATAATGTAATTAGTTAGGGTAGCTAAAAACATCGCGGGTACCCCTTTCTTTCACTCGGAACATGTTTTTTAAACCAGAGTTTTACCGGCGTACACCATAATCTTATCATTGTGCAAATGATTAAATATTTAGGACTTATTGAATCTCCCAAAGGTGGAGAAGATTTACAAAACAATAAATTGTATTTTACCTGAAATAAAGCGCCACTCGCGTCCTCTAGCCAACCGGTGGCCGCTCAAAAAGTACGCCCTCTCCAGGATTCGATCCAGGGACCTCTCCAAGAAGCACTCGTGTCATCTAGTGCTGGGCAATCGATCGATTAAGCTACTGATTAATCGATTAATGCTTTAATCGCGATTAATGTATTTTAACCGGTTAATGGGTTAAATTTTGACGAACCAAAAGAAAGAAAAAATTTAACGCTTTCATCACGCAAGTGTGGACGAGTACATCTGTACGAAGGGCAAACCTTAGGTGAAATTTTAGCTTTTAAAGTAAACTGTAGAGGCGAGATTTGTAAATACAGAGAAAGTGCAAGAGGCTACACCTGTCCCGGCCATTTCAACGTCGTTCGAGTATCCGCTAAGCGCAGCAGAGATTATGGTAAACAATCATGGGATGTCGCTCTTGGCGGGGGATATCAACGAACCTCTGCCTTACGTAGCTGAAGTAAAATAGTCTGAGTGTGAGTGTCTTTGAACTGTTCTTAGCTACACCTCGAGTTCGGTCGAGATTGACCAAAATTGTATATTACGCCGTCTGTCATATAATCACGAAAAGCAAAAGTTTTTTTTTTATTTTTAATGTTTTGTTTTCAATTGAACGAGTCCGATTAATCGATTAATTAATCGACTAAACTTCGGCGATTAATAGGGTTAAAAGTTTTAATCGTCACTCAGCCCTAGTATCAACTGACTTAAGCAGAATCTAACCGTCGGTAGGAAAAATGAATGTTAAGGGTTGCGAATCTTAATCTAAGTTGGTATAAGCGCTCCGCTAGTCTAGAAGAGGTCCCGGGATCGAATCCCGGACGGGGCGGATTGTTTCAGCGGCCTAGGGTGCGAGTTCCGCTAAATGACATCTAACAGAACGAGATATCGTTTCGAGCCTTGTGATGCGAATGTTCAGTACGCTGATGATTTTAGGTGATCACGTTTTGTCTCTTCTCGCGGACCTTGTAGGGATCCTATCCCGATGTGCATCTTTCCCCGCAACTACGGTTACGTCATTTCGGGGCCGGAGGAGTCCGTCTTTGGCGGCTTCCAGCTTCCCCTGCAGAGAATCCCGGCTCCGTCCCGCTACGGCGATGACATCACACACCTCAAAGTCCTCGTCGAGATGCAGACGCCTTACCGGTTGCGGGTTAAGGTACGTATTCGAAACTTACGTAAACTATAGACGCTCTAGACACGTTCCAGATAACAGCCGCCATTGCTGACCTTCTCTTGTCTTGCGGAGATACCGAGCCACTGAAACGAGTGTTGAAGAACCTCCAGAAAGGCCAATGCTGAGGAGAAGGACACAATAGAATCTAAGATGGCAATAATCTGGCTTGTTATGGTAATGATGAAGTGAAGAAAAATGGAATAAAAGGAAGCAAACATTCAAGGTCAATTATGGCGGCGCCCATGCACAGCTCCTGCAAAGCGGACGGGCTGGCGCCCATCAAAATAGCTGTCATTTGTCATACAGCAGTACAAAGTTAGATCAGTGATGCGCTACTAAAAAGAATTTTGTTAAAGCCGCGAGATTCTAGAGATTTACATTATATTCTTTCTTTTTGTGTGTGTCAGAGAAGTGTAAGCAAACATTTTTATTGTAAACTCTTATCGTCCACACACATCACGGTAGAACCATCGCTGAAGGTTGCGAATAGAATTGCGGCTGCAGTTCATGGGCGCCGCCATAGCTGATCATCACTTTTCGTGTTCCTTTATTCGGATCTCTTCACTTTATCGTTTTGCTCACTCGAGGAATTAAAGAGTTTTAGGGAACCGCTTTTGCACATCCGATACGGTATACGATGGGTCCTCCGGTACGAACTGCGCATGTGCGAGTCTTATGTGGCAGCGCATGCGCAGCGCGTACCGGAGGGCTTATCGTATACCGTATCGGATGTGCACAAACTATTCCCTAAAACTTCCTATTATTAGGAACTTCTATCAAACTGTTACCACGTACCGCACTACCGGAGCCTTTGAAGCATGCTTCAAGCGCGCGCACCGTGGTCATGGTATCACCCGGGCGCGGGCGCTCTTCCAAAGCATGCTTCAAAGGCTCCTGTAAATAGTGCTGTGCGCGGAACACGGTAACGGTTTGCTAAAAGCCCTTATCAGGAACTTTTATCAAACCGTTACTGTGTTCCGCGTACCGCACTACTGAACCTTTGGAGCAGGCTTTTAAGTGCACGCCCCGCAGTCACGGTGTCATCCGTGCGCGCGCTTAAAGACATGCCTCAAAGGCTCCGGTAGTGCGGCACACGGAACACGGTAACTGTTTGCTAAAAGTCCTTATTGTATTCTTAAACCCAAAATGTTCGTACAACGAACGCGGGCTTCGTGTGAATATGGTGTGACAATCGCTGGCTTCCACTATCCCTGCTGCCGCTAGAGGACCCACACTTTATGCCTAAAGCAGCGCCACATTAAAAAAAAAAAAAAAAGAAAAAAAAAAGAACAGTCAATTGTTGGGAAATCGGGTTCTAAATTTGAAGGAAAACTTATGAAGTATATAAAAAAGAATATATGCAAGGGGGTATGTTCCCAGTTATGTCTGAGCAGTAACATCTACAAGGTCGGATACAATTTTTAATCCGCCCATTGTTGTTAGCCTCTTCTCCTTTATCCCTGGAGTGCAAGGTTGCGCTGCTGCTTCGCGCACAGAAAGTCTGATGCGCTTGTAGGCTCGAATCGCGGAACCGCTCTTCTCTGGGCCATCGTCACACCTCCCACATTTTTAGCGGCTCGGCATTTCGTTGAAGACAAGGGAGGCTGGAATTTGGCACGCGTTAGCAGTGAAGAGCGGTGGTTTAACTATAGTGACGCGCGACAACCATGAAATTTGAAGACTGAGGTAAAAGGAAAAAAGAAGGCCGCCTGTTTTGCTCCGTAACACTGAATGGTGTATAACCAGATGCGTCTTATACACCATTCAATACGGCTGCCCCCCCCCCCCCCCCCCCCCCCCCCGTGGCCCGCCCCCCTTGAAGAACAATAACAACACCAGCGAATAATGACCACCGAACGAGCTGCTTCCCTTTTAAAACAAAACAAAAGTAAAAAGCCACAACTGCCTGATTGGGGGTGAGCAGCGTTATTTTCGGATCACGCAGACGTCGGGTAGCCCGACATAACAACGTTCACGGAACACGTATATTCGGGACGTCAGGTTGTCAGACTCGACCCTCTCGACTATACGCCGTTTCACCTCACGATGGAACTCAGCGGACGTTACGCTATAGCCATCGGAGCCAACCCATCGCCGCGCGAGTGGTCACGTGACCTTCAAGCAGCGCGGGATTGCCTGGGATTGCTCGGTAAGGCCGGGGTCCCCGTTGCTTACACATCACACAGAGGACAGTCCGCGTTCAGGTTCCAACGCGAGTCACCGCGAGATATCCGTGCTTCGAATGCCGCATGACGACGAGTTCAGGGAGAAAGCCTGGCGCGCGGCATTCGAACCAGGGACTATTGCGGCGGCTCGTGTTTGTTAACTGTCTTTTGTACGATGAATGAGCAGTTGTGACCCCGGCTGTAGCGTCCACTCCGGTCCATTGTAAGGCGAAACGGAGTAGAGCCGAGCGCAAAAACACGAAGCGTACCTCCGCGTCTCCTTCGGACCGCCCCGTAACGTCCTAATAAAGGGGGCGCCCGCTCGACACCCCGTCTGTCATGCCCTCCGTAATCTTAACGTCGCACGCTCGTGACTGCCCACGTGCACGGGGGTGCCGCCCACTGATGAGCATATCAGCCATGCTGCCACTCAAACTGGTCGAGGGGCCGCTGCAGGCTGTAATTCAGACGTCAGTGTCTAGTCTTTCTACCCTAATGGTTTGTTTCATCGAACCAGCTATTTCCTCGTGTACCAGTTTTTCTTCTCTTCCATGCTCGTACAGCCGCAGATCGTCTTCGGAAAAAGACTTTGCAGATGATGTTCGAAGAGATTTCTGCCAACCAACTAGTGGATGCGCAAAACGAAATATAATAACAGTACTAATGATGCGAATCTTATAGTACAATGAATAGATCGTTCGCACGAGCCAGTAAAAGCACGAGAGTGCTTGTAATCATATTATACCTCTGATGTCATCGTGACCCTTCCTTCTTATATTATGTCGTCACACTTTAAAGTTATGGAGTAGTGAGCCATTTCAAGGGCTGGAAACATCTAGCGACATTATTCATTTTCTGGCTTGTTCTCCCTTTTCTATAAATGAATTGATATTATAAATCACCTAGCAGTGATACCATTTTGGTATTTCAAGTAATTACTGCATATACATGGGGCGTAGCGTACCACCATGTTGCAGTAAACTCTATTATTTAGGGGGTTCGGTAGATCCGCCCTCTCGACGGTATTCCGCCGGGAGCCGAATTCACTCGCGTCATTGGTCTAGCAGCTTTTGCGTGTCCTGCCGGAACCAGTTTTCGGTAAACCCCCACCATCCCAATCCCCCCACTCCCCATTCCACCGCACATACGTAACCGCATTCGAGTCCACCCAATCCCTCGCCACATGCACCCAACTTTCCATAAAGCCCGGCGACTAGCACGAGCCAACATCCACGCCAAACTATACCCACCATCACCATGCACACTATACACTGATGCCACACCCTACCCTCACAAACCTGCACACTGTGTAGCTGTTCTCGGTCAACATCCACCACCAAACGTCACGGCGGCCACCATCCTCACTACAAACACAACCACGGCGGAGGAAGCGGCCATTGCCCTTGCGCTCGCCCAGAGCCCCACCCCCCAATTCGTCCTATCTGATTCTCAGCAGGCCATCCGCAATTTTATTCGCGGCAATATCTCCCCCATGGCCTTTTAAATTCTCACCAACAACCCTCCATCCGACACCGTGACCCTGCTGTGGACACCAGCCCACACAGGCGTAGGCGCTAATGAGATGGTGCACGATCGTGCTCGCGAACTTATCGACCGAGCCGCCATTTCAACTGCGCCTACACGCGATGTCCCTGCAGGCAAGCCTACCTCCCTCCTGCAATACAGGGATATTACCCTACACTACCGCCTCCTCCGCCGCCAATACCCACCTCCGCACCCCCACCTCTCCCAAGAGGAAGCACACATGCTGCGCCTCTTACAAACACACACTTTCCCCCACCGAACACAACTGATACACACTCACCCACACCTCTTTACCAGCCCCGCCTGTCCTGCCTGCGGGGCATTCGACACTCATTACCATTCCCTTTGCGAATGCCCCGCAGACCCATACCCCCCTCTTCCCTCCCCTCACCTCTGGGAGCAGATGTTGCGCGACCCGGAGGAGTCAGCCCAAGTCCTGACCACCTCCCGGGCCCTGGCGATCGCGGCGGGCCTCTGGGCCTCCGCCACCCCCAATACCTGATCCCGGAAGAATAATGAAGTTTCCTCCTCCTCCTCGGTAAACACACTAAGAAAAGTAGACGGTACCGGGGTTGGGTGTTACAGCAACACCCTTAGTTATGCCTCATTCACGCTGCTCATTCATTACATAAAAGACACTGTTTTCGCAGCCTCAATCACATCGGAAGCTCTTTTGATTCATACATATATGTATGATTTGAACATATCTGCAGATCCTCTTTTGTGCGACGTATTAGCGGTTTGAGCGCGGCTTTAGGTTGCATGGTGATCACGTTATATAAATAAAATGCTGCAGGCTATATTAGCAGCCTCCTGGGGATATTCATTTTCCGATCACTATGTTTGCGAGGAACGATATAGCACCACATGCTGTTCTCACATGCATAGATACAGTAAATATAGGGAAAATAGGTCACGCGCGACAGCGGAATCATGACCGCGTTAATATATACTCGACAGCTCGAAGGGGATCGCGCGCAATCACGAAGGTTATCGATTCGTACGTTACTTTGTTCTCGCCAATATTTTGCGTAACGCATAATATGTCTAAGTTCAAGAAGGTATCTCGAAGTAAAAGGCATATTGATTCATCCGATAATCATTCGACCTTCTACTGAAAGTTCTTCCGATTTCTTCCACCGCAGTCTCAGGTGTAATACGACATGATTAGCTACCACCAGCTCGCCTGCACTCTCACCGTCTTTTCACTAATAGTTCCGGAAGCAGGCTTATTTCCATTCAACCATGGCCCCGCGGCTGTACCCCAACCAACTTCGCTGTTGAGACGTTCTCTGTGTCTGTTCCTTCTACTGAAAGTTCTTCCGATTTCTTCCACCGCAGTCTCAGGTGTAATACGACATGATTAGCTACCACCAGCTCGCCTGCACTCTCACCGTCTTTTCACTAATCATTCGAGGTCGCCGCTAGAACAACATCGGCTAAAAGTGGGTGTTGGTGCGGCGAACACACCTTCGCCGCATCCAATTTTTCACACCCTTTCTCCACCCTTAAAAAAAAGTGTTACACCCTGTTGCGCAATTAAAGGGGTGCCTTAGATCGGAATAAGGCGGGTGAAAAGGTGTAGCTATTGGTGCACTTTTCTGAAAGAGCGCTTTCATGCCCCTGAGGGTGAACAATTTCTTAGTGCCTAGTGCGTCGCACTCACGCCTGAACTAATGCTTCCAGCTCACTGATTCCCGCGAAACGGAGTCGTAACAACAAAAATCTATATAAGAGCGTGATGTTTGCGAGACAGTAGCTGCACGAATCGTGTTCGTGTTTAATTCCTTTTCATTTGTACCGAGCCAATTAGGCGGCAAATGCGATGCCGGTTTTCTTTGCAGGAACGTCGTGTGCAACAAGACATACCATATAAAGCGCTTCTTAATTTGGAGAATGATTAAAAAAAAACGTTTGATCTTAGTGTGCGCACTTGTTTGCTCAGATTCGATCGAGGTGTCGGTCAGTGCTTCGTGCGATTACGGTCCAACGCTCTTTCCCCGTGGCCGCACCTGTGCCGTGTGCGGGGTGCGACGTACGCATAGAGAAAGCGGACCGACCGAAACGGGACTAGAGTTCGCCCACTCCCGCATTCTTGCACATCGCGGAGGCGTTCCTGATCACACGCGGATCTGGAAACGCCCTGAACCGCACTCTGGATGGGCCGTGAAATTAGCCCCTGTGCTATACTCATGCCTCCTCGACCTTGGGGTCCCTTCCGCCCGATTGTGTTGTTTTTGGTGGCTTCTGGTTCCATCAGCCGCTGGGCTTCCTTCAGGGCTGGAGTCGGCCATTGCGTTCCGCCGGACTGGACTGCAGAAAGGTGCAGACCGCATCATACAAAACTTGAAGTCATAAACGACACGACGCGAGTTCTCTTATTGCGGGTTGAATTTATTTATTCGTTTTGGGACAATTGTCCAGCTTTGCCTCAATAAACTCCACGTGTGTACTTTGCCCCAGGTTGCAGACTTGGGCTCGCTGCACAGCGCGCATTATTCACAATATCTGGCCCACAGTTGTTGTTCGTACTATGGGAAACGGGGAAGGATGCGGCAGGAAGTTGTTGTTCCGCACCTTCTAATTGGTCTTACAAGAAACCGGACATGCACAAGTTACTAAAAAAAGTAAATAAGTTAAGTTACTGAGCGCTGGCCTCAAAAGTGATTTGAGTGGAGCAGAAGTTACTCAGAAGAAAAGTAATTGAGTAAATTACTAACTGCGGTAACACAGTATCGAATTACTTTTGAAGGTACTTTTATATTTTTTTTTAGTAACAAGAAGGTACATAAATGTTTTGATCCCCTAGCGAAATTCTGCTAGCCAAATACAAAGCGGTCTGTGTTTTCACATAAATAATTTAATAGCTGGTTCTGCTTCTGTGTGTAAATTGGTTGGTAGTTTTTGTTTTCTGGCCAATGATGTACTGCGGATGTATCATTTCTACTTTAAGGTCTAGCACTGCCTGAGCTTGATTTTGCAGACAGTGTTTGCTTGTTTGCAGTGTTGCGTAAAGTACATCTAAAAAGTACTTGAAGTAAAGTACAAAGTCAATTAGAGGTTATCTACTTCAAGTGTGGTAAGTACACCGAGTGCAATGTATGTGAAGTAAAGTACTATAAATACAACATACTTTTAAAGTAAAGTACAAATACTTTTTAAAACAATCCCTCATGATGCCCTTTCATACACTATTTCTTTTTACTTTACTTTAACGGGTATGCACTGCTCCAAAATTAATTGGAGGAGCATCCGTTTTTTTTTTTTCGTTTTTTTTTTTCGGGAATGGCGGCAAATATTGGATAAAGTCAAGTCGCCACAGTGTAGTTGTTTTTCTCTCGCTGACTAATTATTTAACACAATACACTTATAAGGCACTTGTTTGTATCAGTGTTATAGCCGCCATTACTTCACTCAAAGAAATCACCACATGACGTCTGGAAAGACGATAGCGCGTTTTCACATGACGACCGCCATTTTTTTTTTTTTTTGTTTCCAAATTTGGGGAATGCACATTGCGAATTTTCTTTTCTTCAGAAATTACCGGTAAAAATACTTTAGTAAAGTACAAGTACATGCTCAGAGAATGCACTTCAAGTAAAAAAACATGTTTTCTAATCTTACTTGAAATAGTACTTAAAGTACCATGTTCGTAAAATACTTCCCATTTTTTTTAACGTTTATGGAATTTTTTTTTCTCGAATGATCTTCGAATTTTGGAAGGCCTGCTTATGCTGAGTTTTGGGAGGAAAGGCAACGCAAAGAGGTCACCTCTGTGTTGCCCTTTAGCACGCGATCCTTCAAGTACAGCACAAACTACGGGAGCACCAGATGGGCTTCAGAGCGGGTGCTGCATTTTGTTGACTCTTCAGAGTGAGACTGCAGTGTGTACACCTTTAGTGGGCGAGAGTTTCTACGTTGGGGAGAAGCAGGGAGAGACCCTGTCTTTAAATACGTGAAGTCTCCTTGAGCTTCGGGACACACAAAAAAAAATGCCAGTCTTCAGCACTAATCCCACATTTACTGGGCCTCACTTTCGACGTGTCTGTCCGCTCCCCGCTCCTCGTAGCAGCGTTGTTCAAGTGGGGACTCGTTAAACGTTTAGAGTGTTTTGGACCCTCCAAACCACTCCCTCCTATACCTACGTCACACGCTTCCCCTTCTTTGGAAATATCAGCTGACCTTCCAACATCTTATCTATTTTTGCGCAGGAATGTTTGTCGACCACCGAACCTACCTCTAAAATTCAAAAGCGATTTGTAATTTGAGTGGAAGTTATTCGGAAAAAGTAATTAAACTAAACTACTAATTAACAAAATAAAAATTTAGTTGAAAGTTGCTAAACTACTCAGAAAAGCAGTAACTTGAGTAGAGTAGTTGAACTACGTACAATCTGCAAGGAACCAAACCTTTTTTGTTTGTCTCGCCTCTTCTTTTTTCTTTTTTTAGATATACGACCCTTCAGACGACCGATACGAGGTTCCTGATCCGGTCATTCCCGTGGAGTCTGCCCTCGATTCGCAGCTGAATCCGGGAGCTCAGGTGCAGATGTATGCGGCCAGCTACAACTTGGGACAGGACACCTTTAGCATCAAGGTCCGCAGAGCCGAGACCGGCACCGTGCTGTAAGCTTCCCACTCACTGCATCGACCGCTCTAGTTCAGAGCAGGTAGAGGGGAGCTCTCACTGGAGAACCCATGGGTCCTGGGTTCAATTCACACCCCTACCCGTTTCGATCCGCACGAGCATCGTACTGGCGTGTGTTCGTGCCCTGCCGCTTGATCAATGCCATTTCGCTACGGGCTGCCGCTTCGCAAGAAGGTGTGACCCAGCTGAGTTTTCTGAAGTTGTCCTTGGATGCATGGAACGCCGGTCTCGAGGAGCACTTCTGCGTTGCTAATGCACGTTCTCCGCCAGCCACTGTGACTCTAATGGTCGGTTCCCACGTGGAGTGTAAAATAACTGGATCGTGGGAAAGGACCGCCCAGCTCCCTGCGTGGTCACCGTGACATGATAAATTATTCCTTGACCTTTCCACTACCCCTTTCCAAAGTCACGTGCCGATCGATATGAGATATGATCCACTGCACAAGGGCGTAAAAGCAGACACTGCGGAATGTGCAGCTAGCGGGAGCGGGTAACTTCGATCCCTCCTCTATACTCACAAAGCCTAGCAGTTCGACGACGGATCCATAGAGTGCCGGTCGCAGATTGGGAGCGCGAGGATCTGGTTGCACAAAGCATTTCTTGGGGAACCTGGTAGTCAGCGCACAGCTTTTGCAGCGGCGAGGACCCGAAACATGGTTTTCAGACCTGGTGAGAAAAGAGGCGGTAGCGCGAGGAACCCGAGGAGCACGAACGGACTTTCCACCGTTCGTGCTCCACAGTGTGTTTCGGCCTCTCGCCGCAGCGGGGCGCCCGTCACGTGGCTCTCCTCTCATCCATTGTCTGCCGCTCTACCTTTTGAATTTCGGCGGCCGCGTCTCGTGACGATATACCAGGCTTTGTCAGCATAGAGGAGGCTATGCTTCGACTTATTCTCCCGCTGCACGGGGCCTCGTGCAGCGGAGGCGCAATCGAACCCAAGAAGCTCGCGCTTGTGTTCGCCATTGTGCATGGATTCCACAGCTTCTAAGAACGGGCAGACTTTCGAAAGGGGTCTATTGTATGTGGGCCGATCTACAATAGACCTATCTCACCAAGCGTTTGGCGCATGCGCGAAGCCGCCCTAACTTTACTTCACAAGAGGCTGGGCGCTCTTCACGCGCGAGTTCCAGCGAGGTTCGGGCACGTGCAGAAAGACTCAAGTTCCCTCTATGCATTGCGTTAGCGGTGGCGTAGTCAAACTGGCGGGTGAGATCAGCCTATTTGCTGGCTGGTAGCTTTATAGACCCTTTTACTGTTTAAAACATGAACAGCTGCTTGCGTCCCGAGGGACTTCCGCTCTCTCCGGCTTTGCAAGCCTGTCAGGCTTGCTTATGGCACCATTGCTAGAAAGCATAGATGCTACACGGGCAACAAAGTCGTGAGATTTAGGGCGGGCCTAGGGCTGTACATTTTAGCACCTTGGAGGAGAAGTTGGTTTACAAGAATATTCGAAAATTTTCAACAGATCTCGCACTGCTTGGATCTTTTGGCGTTCGCCTGGAGAATTGGTGATTAAAAGCTTCATTGACGTTTCAAGCAGCGGTGTTAAGTTGGGCTTTGTTCATTATTTTCGTGAACCGTAAGTTCGCCGGGACGTCAAAAACTGGAGCACCGCCTGGTGGCGTTTGGAAATAAAAGGGTTTTAATACAGACGTTTCTTGTTTATATAGAGTTTGCTATTCAAGCACTGGCGAAACAAGCGTACACCTTCGTACCACCCCCACATACGGTGTCGGTGCTTGAAGGCATTGAAAAATAATTTTCCTGTTTTGAAATACGCAAAAAGAACAATATAATTGTATGAGATCCGTGGAGATGGGCATGATTGATAAGCCGATTTCATACACAGTGGGAAATGCGCTTATATTGGCGAGGAACGCCTTCAGTGCGATGATGCTCCACATGGTGATCCTGGCGAGACTGGATTAGAACGACCCTCTCAAAGCTTTGAAGTGGCCGAAATGGCGATTGCCATAGCAACCGGTTGCGGTCGCTCGTTCGTGTGAAGCGTATCTTTTGTTTTACGCGCGCCCAGGGACCTCGATTTATTCGTGGTGCCCGGGCTTCGAAGCCTCCACCATGTCGACGCCTACAAAGGCGTAGTGCTTCTCGTTCAAAGTTCCGGCGGACACTCCGGTGGGTGCCATCATGGACAGCATTCAAGTCGTCGCCGGCGAGGATGGCCTGTCGTACCTGTCGCACCGCGGTGGGACAAGGTTCATAGCGGCGGTCAGCACCATGGCTGCCGCTTAGTTTTGGAGCGCCAGGGCAAAAAGTTATTGACAAAAAACTTTAATCCTAACAAAAGAAACATTTTTGTTCTTAATAATGTTCAGAAATTTTGCATTACATACTGGTGCCCTAAGCTGGACGCTTGGCAAAAACGACGGCGAGAAATCTGGCGGCCGCGATCGGCCAACGCCACACTTAACTTTGACGCCGGCCAATCATAGCCGCCGAATTTCTCGCCGACTTTGCCGCCAAGTGTCCAGATTAGGGCCCCTGGACGGCATTCTGTTTTCTACCAATATTCTTGTGGATGGTTAGTCTTAGTGTTTACTTTATGAATCGTTAATTAATACTTTAAATCAAGTTTGTCTTCAGTTTGAATGACGAACATACTTCGTTTTGTCATGTTCGTTTTTAAAGCAAATAAGTCGTCATGAGAGTACACGGATGATGGTAAAATAACCGGAGCACCGCCAGAAAATATGGCGCAGCATAAGCAAGACTGATATCTCAAATAAAGCATGAGCCTCGGAAACACACGGAGGTAAATGAGCACGCAAGGAACTGTAGTTACTTTATTCTGTCCCATCTCAAGATTGTATTTTACCATTTCAAGGTTTCTTCAGGATGAAGAATCACCAGAGTGATAATAGTTTAAAAGAAATTTCGACCGCACACAAATAAGTTTAACTTTTGCTTAATTTAAACTTGAAGCAGTATTCGAACTAAATTTTCGAAAGTTCTCGTACTCCAGCAAACAACCTCTTGGAATAAGTTCGAGATTTTACAAGCGATACTCTTCCATGCTGAAGTATGCATTTCAGCCGCCCATGGCGCGTGGTGGTGCGAAACAAAAACCCTAGAGTCTTATCAGTTGCAGGTTTACAATGTCGGAACACGCCCCTCCCCCGAAGGTCTCTGCTCGCCATTATCAGTGATTTCCTGTTCTCCAGTGTGGGAGTAGCTTGTCATTTCATATGCAGCACAACCTCCTGCATAAGAAAGCTCCTGCATAGGACTCTACTAGCATGCTTCGAACAAGAGTTTCCAAGCGAGTTGTCATTTGTCTTTCCAGAGGGCACTGAAAGCGGTAGAGTGCCATAAAAAAGCACGATTCTCAAAAACGGTGTGCATACATTTCTTGCATGGACATAACATCAGCGGATGCATTTCGCACCACCACATTTCGCGCCACCAAATTTGTTTCACTTTGCAAGAACAAGTAGGAATGCCTACCAGCAGGATGTGATCACGTCACGTGCATGCCATGTATACCATTCTCTTTCCTAGCGTACGTTCTCCACAGCCAGCACGCGCGTGTTCGAGACTTCGGAAAGCGAGCAACGCATGCGCCATAGACACAAACTCTAAAGACGGCGCCTGCCAACTGAATATTTATGTTTATTTTTTAGCTTCGACACGAGTGTGGGAGCGTTGACGTTCGCGCACCAGTTCCTGCAGCTGTCTGCGGCAATTCCGTCGAACCGCGTGTACGGCCTGGGAGAGCACATGCACGAGCGGTTCGCCCACGACACCCACTGGCGTACTTGGAGCATTTTCAGCAGGGACGCCTACCCGGAGGTCGGTAAACGTCCTTCGTCGTGTCCTTGAGCCTTCACTATAAGAAGCGTACCACAGCCCTACCGAAAAATGCAGTATAACGTTTTGCTAACTGGATTACGGAACTGGAAATCTATTTGAATTCTAACTGGATTTCAGGTTTTCAAAATCTAATCTGGATTTCAGGTTTCCAGCAAGAAATCCAGTTAGATTTCCAGTTCCATAATCCAGAGAGTAAAAAAGTTACACTGTTTTTTTTTTTGCTTCAATAACTGAAATTCGTGAAAGTAACTTGGCAAATTTTGAGAGAAACGTTTGTAGCCGGGGATTCAATCTGAGTTGACATTCTTGAGGGGGACACGTACAGCTGCAAAATTGCTTAGCAGAAATCATATGATATTTTTTTGTGCCGACCCGACCTCTGGCGGACTGATTTATTTTCAGAGAGTAAACGAATTGTGGCTTCGTACGCCTCGAAAGATGCGCAAATATTCCGCAGAGTTCCGGCATTCAGCAGCGCATTTAATTAAAAATGTCCCCCATCATATTTAGATAGGTTCTTTCTTTCCTCTTTTTTCCATTTTTTTTTTTTTTTCAAAATCAGTTTGATTCTTTTTGCATACCTTTTATGGTGGTCAAACGCAAATGTCAGTAAAAAATAACAATTTCGTTTAACGCAATCACGATTACTCACACCGAGTAGCGCTTTGTTCTGAAATCCTCTAGTGGACACTTTTTGTCTTCAAGCGGTGCCCAATGTTTGTTCCCATAAACTTGCAACGATCTTACTTTCATGAAACTTCGTATTCGAATGCGGCGTAGTTTATAACAATTATGTGCATTTTAACTTCGGATATTACCTTCCCTTCCGATGCAGGACTTCTCGAACCTCTATGGTTCGCACCCGATGTACATGTGCGTCGAGAACGACCTCAAAGCTCACGCCGTCCTGTTGCTGAACAGCAACGCCATGGGTAACTCCACTGCGATTGTTTCTTCTGCCTTTGTGATTGTTTTATATCTCGAACAATGAAACCTCTTCAACTCGGCCACCGCTTTAAGTGTTCGAATTAAATGTAAGCGCTTTGCTTTCGTGGAATAAATCTTCTACGTACGTTAGGGCTAGGGCTAAGTGAGACGTTTCAGTTTCTGGAGTCGTCCAAATGGAAAATATCACTTCCTTAAAAAAAAAAGGAAAATATATATCTATATAAGATCAATATTTGATTGTTTTGTGTGTTTTCATTGAAAATCATCTAGCCGGACAAAGCCCGTAAGGCTTGTATGACATGGGGCCCGGTAACGTCAAGAAATATAATTTTAATCGAAGACCACACTTTTGGTGATCAAAAACAACAGAGAACATCAACAAAAAGAAAAGGACTAATTATGTGCCATGTGTATAACGAACACAAACAAATTTCACCGTTAATATAACAAAACACTCTATTATAAAAATATACCATCAACAAAAGTATTACACCGTGTAGTACTGCAACTACACCATTTAAATTGTATCTGCCTGTAGAGAGCTATCATAAAACAAAAATAATGTCCGTACGCTAAAAACACTGACCAAAGATGGTTCTTGAAAGCAATACAAAATTTGTAGCCACAAAGACAGACCACAGTCATAATATATACAAGCAAGAGCTGTAAACATAAGCAGAACTAAGAACAGAACGTCCGGTGTTTGTGAACCCCAGACATCCAGTTACAACCGGCACCGGCTGTGACCTTCAGGACGACGGGAGGAGTGCTTGATTTCTACTTCTTCCTGGGACCAACTCCCGAGGACGTTGTCAAGCAATACACAGAGGTGGGTATACACCCTCTGGAATGCTACACATATTTAACCTTTGAACGTCGCTTTTTTGGACTCAACATTATGTAATCAGTGATTGCCTAAGAAACGCAGGGTTCGCTATTCATTTTCCTACGTTCCTATTGACTAAATGCGCGATCTTATTAATTGTGGAAGGATATTAAGATTCTCAGTACAAGTCACGCCCTGCGTTTCTTGAATTGTCAGTGACTAGTGCTGCTTTCTGTTTTCCGCATTCACGTCGTCTTGCGTATCAAAGTGAAAAAAACAGCTATATACATATTTTTTTCTAATCGGTGGTATTTTGCGTCCCACGTATGTCCACAGGCCGTGGGTCGACCCATGATGCCTCCCTACTGGGCTCTGGGCTTCCACCTGGGCCGCTGGGGCTACAGGACCACGGAGTTCGTACGTGACGTCCAGAAGAAAATGAGGGACATGGACATGCCACAGGTACGTACAGATTCTTAACAGGAATGCTCTCTACAGGAGCGCAAGTTCGTCTGCTTCTTTTTCAGGGGTTGTGGTGACGTCAAAACGCCGAGCTCCGATTGGCTCTGATTGAAGGATAGTGGGCAGACCTCAATGGCTGGATGCCCTGAGGTCTACCCACTAATTTATTTTTTATTTTTTAGTCAGCCAATCAGAGCTCGGCGTTCTGAAATCGTCGCAACCCATGTGCAAGTAGCAGACGAACTTCTGCTCCGCATAGATTCTTGGCTTGCGCATTGACGACAGCTGCGGTGTCTGGAGCGCGCGTCCGACTGGTGTGCTTACCACACCGCCAAAGTGGTCCCCCGACTTCCACCTGATGTCGTGGTGTAACCTGTCGCGATACTGACGGTTGCACGGACGTGGACGCGGCAGACACCTGTTCTGCTGTAGGTCGCTCTGCAGCCGTACAGTCGACGGAAACCAAGGCAGACTTGCGTCCACTTGTCCTTGTCGCCAGCCTTTGTACGGTTAACCGCCACGATTGTGACATCCGACAGCGTTAGACACAGGCTCCTGTGGTACAGTTTGCTGCCATTTCAGGACCGCGTTCATTGTGTGGGTAGGATAAAGCTGTAAACATTTACCAGTTTAAGACGCGTTCGAGGCACTGTAATGAAAACTACAAGGAATATTCCCCACCTAAAGAGGGTATCGCAAAGTTTATTACTTTATAATTAATGGCGACATGTCCGATGGTGACTGCGCAAAGGCTCTACAGGTGTATTGTGTGCATACTTTTTGAAAAGGTTACCAAAGTAGACGACGAACTCCCACAAAAACATCCAATTAGTGCGGGAAGTGCAATTAGGGGAGAAAATTGCTTGCAGAAAACTCCCAACTGTTTACGACAATGTGGTTGTGTTAGACAACCTATTTTGCCGTCTAGTTGGCTCATCTATCAAAGTCAAGGTTGTGACGCACGCGTCTGTTAGAAATTGGCCTTCCGACATTTTCTGTTCCAATGGAAGAGGGATTTGCTCGTTAAAGCTCTCTTTCGACAAGTGCTCAATTAGAAAAATCCCAGAAAAAAAAAAAGCCAACCTTTTTCTTTTAGCATTTTGGAAAGTTGACTGATTAAGTTAAACCAGACTTGTATCGTACACATTACAAGTAATAAAATTACTTGTAATCGATTACTTTTTGGAGTAATTTTGTAATCAGTTGATTACTTTTATTAGGCAGTAATCACAAGAGTAATGTGATTACTTTTTGAAGTAATAAAAATTACTTGTAACCGTTACTATTTTTTCAGAAAGTGTTCCTCAGACTCACACTGCCTTGCCATCCAGCGCGTCTGTTCAGAGGGTTTTCAGCGTAGCAGCAGACATATTCACGAGAAAACGTGGAATAATGAGTGACGCAAACTTTGAGCGACAACTCTTGCTTAAGCTTAACAAGATCTAGAACCCCCTCCGCTGCACCTCCTCTCTCTCTCTCCCTCCCCCCCCCCCCCCCCCCCCCCCCCAACTGGCGAACGCCGAAATCAATAAACTTCTTCAAACGAATTCTGTGCTGTTGTCCGCATTTTGAAGGTGCAACGACCACACAGAGAGAACCCGTTTTTTGTTCTTCAATACTTGTAAAAATATGAAATAGAGGTTGGAAGTAGTTCCTTGTTATGAGCGCTAACGATGTAAGTCTTCACACAATAAAATAATCGGAAAAAAACGGTTACTTCTTAAAGTAATGTAAAATTACTTTTGCTGTGGAGTAATCAAGTAATGTAGTCGAATACGTTTTAGCCAAAAGTAATAGTAATTGTAATCGAGTTGTTTTAGTAACATGTACAAGACTGAGTTAAACCATAAGAAGGTCAGCTTCCAGCTATTAGTGCATTCTTTATAAAAAAAAAAGTTCATGTCGCGGAACTCCGCAAAACAAGTCAGGCTTCCATTCAACATTTTTGGAAAGGAAAAACCCTAACGCAATTTTAAAATAATAATAAAAAAATTAAGTTATATATTTGATAAAACTTTACTATTTACACTACCCTCTAAAACGTTTTGAAAACAAAAACCAAATTTAACGATTTCTAAAGAAAGACTAGTCACTTACACTTTTAGATACCCAGAGCTTGGCAAGCCCCGGTCATCTTATTCTTGCTCCGTAGCCAATAAGATTGCAGCATTAACCGACAACAACTGCCGCAGAACGAATCACGAGACAAGATGTCTATATTGTCTTCTTGTTCAAATGAACCAGAATGCTTTATTTGAGTGTGGTGGTATCATGTTTCGGATTCAGGACGTGATCCATTTGGACAAGGACTACCAGTCAAACTACCGAGTTTTCACGTTGGACCAAAGCAGCTTCGCCAAGCTCCCGCAGCTGGTTCGGAACCTGCGGAACATGGGCCAAAGAGTCATGCTAGTCATTGAGCCCGCGGTCGGCTCCGCCAAGGACAAGGGAGCGTACTCCGTGCACGAGACCGGAGAGCGGCTGGGCGTCTTCGTCAACAACACCTGGGGAGCGGTGCCCATCGAAGGTTTGGTGAGTGCCAACTGGTTGCACCGAACGTTCGAAATAACAGAGTACGCGCTTTTGCTTAGAATACGGTTAGAAGTCGTCAATACAAACACACACACACATATACACAAAAACAAAAACAAAAAAGACCACCTCCTAGGATGTTTTCTTTCCCCTCTGTCCGATGTCTGTGTTGTGGTGAAAGACATAGATGATATCTATATAGGTCATCGCCCCTTGCAAATTATCGATAGTTCTTGCTTCCAACTGTTAGTAACTAGCATAGAGCTTACTAGAGTTCCTGTATAGCTACCTACGGTAGCAGAGTTGCGCATTCAGCCTCGGCGAGTGGCCGTAGCGCCGGCTTTTCCGCACGCCCTGGATGCTTTGCTCCTCACGTGACTAAATTAGGCGAATAGCGGCGCCGCGCGCGCCGCCGCGCATGGAAAACAGGAGAGGAGGAAAAGGAGGCGGAAAGCAGGGGAACATACGCCGGGGCGCGAGAAACGTCGGTGGAGCGACCGTAAAGGTGGCTTCCTTGCACGTCACCGGATGCTTTGCTCCTCACATGATGCATCTCGGCGAATAGCGGCGTGGCGGCGCGGGGAAAACAAATGCGCAACTCTGGCTCCCGTAGGTAGCCTATACAGGAACTCTAGAGCTTACTAAACCTATGTCAGCTAAAGGTTTAGTGGTAGAAAAAAATTTGATCTATGCTATGCTTCTGATGTGCGGCACAAAATCTAACCTAAGGCTTAACGAAGTTGGTTACTGCGATATCAAGAAGTCTTGGTTGTAAAATGGAACTGCTGTGATGATACTACGTATATACGGAAAAGGGCAGATAACACACTGCCGCCGACAGTATCGCGAACCTGCACGCTGGTTCGGAATTTCGCAGGTACGGTGTCAAACTTTTCGGTGTGTTGAAGGGTTAAAAACTGAGGAAGTTGGTTCTGATTGATTACGAAAAAGAGCACTCCTAAAACGCGGACAAAAGGAGACACGTACGAAACACGGGCACTCACTCAAAGCTGATCGTCTACTTTTTACAGTTCGCCAAAAAGGAAGATACCAAACTCAGTCCGCTCCTGCGTGGTTCACGTGTCCCTCATGTCGTGAAGTGTTACGGCGATAGCCGTTTTGATGAACGTTTAGTAGATCGTTCCAATAACTGCGATAACGATACCCCGCATTCCGCTGGCGCCTTTGCTCGTGCGTTGTCTGTTTATCGGGCATCGTTATCAGGGTGATTGGAACGACCTAGTAAAATTGCCTATTGGCTGGGTTTCGCACCAGATCCCGTGTGTTCTTCGTATGCGTATGTCGTGAACCGCTAAAATTAGAGGAAACATATTTTCGCTAAATTTAGTTAGAAATATTTTTGTCGTACTTATCGGGAATTCAGTGCCTCGCGACATCACACTGTCACGTGATGTTATGGCATCATGTGACGTCAGAATGTCGCATGAGCACCGTTTGCTGATTTCAGAGCGATGGAACTTCCCTAACTTTAAGCATAGCAGTGTGCAGCGGCTCGGCTGTCCCCGCAGTTTCGTTTACGGACACGGTGGTCATGTGTCTTCATGACGTCACGTGACGCCACATATACAGCATTGTACAGCTTATTCACAACACATGTTTTACGCCCCAGTGTTATCAGCATGATCAAGATAGTGTTTGTTTGTATCACTTCGTCCACGTTAGTTTTCACCTGCTTATAGTCGTCCATGAATAACTGTGGCAAATATGAATGCGCACATTTCGAACTTTGTTATATTGTTCGTTTCTGGAAATCTCCTCATTATCAGGGGTGGCCCGGTGCTGTCGTTTTCCCCGACTTTGGGAATCCCAACACGCAGTCCTGGTGGACGGAACAGCTACGTCATTTCCGGGACACGATGCCCTTTGACGGTATTTGGATTGTAAGAATTACTCGTCTATCCGGGCTGTTCACACGCCAAGCCAGAATTTTTTTTTTGTGAACGTAACAAAACATTGGCAATAAACGAGAATGTGTAAACAAAATCTGAAGTGGGAAGCGAGATTTTATACTCCTTTTCATTTCACCAGTCTGACCTAGTGTTGTGCCAAATACACAACAAGGTATTTAAGATAATATACTATAGTCGGTGACAGGTCAAGAACGAAGTGGAAGCTCCTCCCACCTCTTTCCACTTCAGTAGAGCGAACGCTGTAGAGGAGGCGACCTCCTCTCCACCGTTCGCTCCGCTAAAGTGGAAATTTGGGGTGGGAAGAACTTTCACTTCGTTCTTGACCTGCCACCGGCTATAAATACCCATTTGAAAATGTAATGAAGCTACTTTTACTATGAAATTGTAAAAGTAACTTAAATAGTAACTTAAATAAACTTGAGCAGAGTTCATATACTTTGATAAAGTAATTGAATTACATTCGAACATACTCGGAAAGTGGGATGGAAACAGGTAATATAAGAAAAAAAAGTAAGAAAGGGGTGCCCTACTTGTGACTACTTCGCTGAAAATCTTATTTTGCTGTGATCTGTATAACTTTCAACAAGCGACTTAGCTGCTGCAATCGAGCTTACTTAAAAAATAATTCGAAAGACAACATATAATGGGCACCGCAAACATTTTAGGAACGGAAGGGACTCACGTATTCAAGGCATGCCAATAGGCGTGCTTTAGTTTAGCGGCAGGCTCGGCTCATGACGCATTCCACAATAAGTTCGTAACATGCCTTGACGGGATTCGGTGGACTTGGCCCATAGTCCGGCATTGCGTATCCCTAACAGCCGAACTAGAAGTTGATCAGGCAGCCAGACTTGATTATGAGTACGCGAATGAGCGACAAACGTGCATGCCCAGGAAAAAAACATTGTCTGTAGTCAGTTACAGGTTAAGAAAAGTTTTCGAGGAAAAGGAGGGATGGGGAAGAGGAACCAAACGAGATGCTGGAGAGGAGAGGAGGAAACCTCCTCCTCTCTCTAGCGTTCTGTCTGCTTCCTCTTCCCCAGCCTTCCCCAGCCTTCTTCGAAAACATTTCTTAACCTGTAACCGACTATAGAGGACAGCAGCCTCTGTCGCCGATCAAGAGCCAAGAGGGAGGGAGCATTTCAGGTAGAGGTGCTCCTCCCCCGAGCCAAGGGCGAGGAGGAGCACCTCTACCTTCATACTGCGAAAGAAATATTAGGAAGGTCAAAAGAGAAACACAAGTAACTCAGGAGAGTGTCAATGAAATCGATTTCTATCCCTGGCTCCACCTGGCGGAAAACTGGGTTGGAGGATTCTGAGAATGAAACACTGTGCGCATTCGGAAGGAGAAAAACGAAACGCTTTTGAACGAATTCGGGAGTCAAAGTTGAGCCTCAATAGGCACACAGGGGGCTTTGGGAAAGCCCAATCTAGGTCACTGTAGCTCAAAAAAGCCAGCAGGATCTAGCTTTCTTGACTGAGAGAGCGTTTGCGCTCACTTGAAAACGCACTCGTGCATTTTCATACCAGAACTCCCTGAACCGGCGATTTCCGAAAATTGTCCATTGCAACTGCACCGAGCGTTGACGTCACAATCTTCCGCTTGTGGAACCACTCTAGCTTCAAACAAAAGTTGTAAAATCCGGATCAGGTCACCAACACTTTGCTAGTTGCAAGCTTGACGTGGCATTCAAAAGCAACTAAAAAAGAAAAGAAGCGGACAAGAAGACAGATAAAGGTGGTCGTACTTAAGGCTATCCATTTGATCTCTTTTTTTTCGGCTTTCGGAGACTGCGTTTTGCTCGTGCTTGTTTCCTGTCCCGTGTTTGGTCGCTTGCCTCCAAGTCTGCAATCGGTTCAGCCTTGCCCTGGAGTCGCACAATCTCTAGTTCCATTGATTGTTCTGGCGACAGATATTTTGGAAGGTTGAAAAATGTATTTGAGATGCTGAGTACAAGATAGTGAGAAGGGTAATTAATATAGAGTAGCAAATATTCTAGACGAAATGTATTTGCAAGATACCGAAATACTATACCCAAAGTATTTGAAATACAGTATCTTGAGTAGAATATCTAATTGCAAATTGCACCGGTCATTTTGGAGCGGTCCGGGATCAGTAGACCGGATCCGAGATGAAGCACGCGATCCCAACGGAGTCTCTCCGCCTCCGTATCTCCAGTTAAACATATGACCACTCTTCCGGATCGACGGTTGCCTTCCCGTCATTCACCTTCCCGGGAATCTCCTTCCCGCAGTCCCGGATCTCGAAGCACACGCTTTCGCAATCGCGGCGCTAACAACACGTGTTCAGCGCACGAGCGAAGTTAATCATGGTGTGAAAGATGCGTGTCGATAGGAGATGTGCATCAGCATAGCTCACTTGTCTCTTCATCAGAATACTCGTGAACGACGTGTCCAATTACGTCTCGACTTTCGGCCTCTTCTGCAGAGGTCCGAAAAGGCAATGTAATTCATGCGGGACATACAAACAATCCTCGTCGTCGCTGCTACTCGAGCCACTGCTGCTAGAGGACCTGCTCGAGCAACTTGACGACGAACTGTCATCAAGCAGCAGCAGCAGCTGTAAAGGTGGTGGCATTTCGCGAGCGGCCATTACGAATTTCGAGGTGAGATGGCCGGCGAGAAAGGAATTCACGCGAGCGCGCGACGAGGGCTGACCAGGCTGGCTTCCGGTCGAATCCGCTCAAATCGGCGGAGCTGTTTGTCTCAGATCTGGCTCGAGGTCTGCAGTGGGAATCCATAGCGACGAATGGAATACGTCCGTCTCGATCCCGATCGCCCGGTGAAAGAGGCGCGCTCCAGAAAGGTCGATCCCGGCGCGCTCCAAAACGACCAGAGGAATTCGCCAGGCAAAAGTCTGGTTCTGATGACAGCCGGCGCTACGGTTTTGACGTAGCCGATCAAGCAGCGCGGAGAGTGCATCGTCACGGCGCTTATTGCCTCTGCTCCTAATAATTACCGATTAAGCCAATCACTCACGGTAAATGCGCCGCGATCCTGCGCGGTTTTCGTTGCGTGACTATAGTTCAGCCAATGAGAGCAAAGGCACAAAGACGACGGCAGCCGTGATGATGCACTTTTGGAGCTGCTTGATTGGCTCCGTCGAATCGTAGCGTTGGCGCCGGTAGGACTGAACTCACTGACTTCACGGCGCTGTGGTGGCGCTGCTGTCCGTACTGCGCATGTGCAAGCGTTTCACTCCTCCCCGAACTTGGTTTCTGCGCACGCGCAGTGCCCACACCTGATCAGGGCAAAGCGGGCTTGTGTGTAATCACTGTGTTGGTGAATAGCATATCTATTTATTTCACTGCATGTTGAACATTCTTGTTGATGAGGCGAAATTTATAAGACTTCGGACAACTTGTAAGATATCGATGAGTGGGATCCCATATTAAATATATTTCCTCAATTATTTTTATGCTTTTTTTTTTTGGTCACTGGTACGTTTTTGGACTGTGATCGCCGAAATGAGAACCGTCCTGTTATGAGTAACTTAGTTTCCCGGTTTGTGAAATGACGAACATTACCCAAATCAAACCAGGCATAACAGTCGAACGAAGTGTATACGAAATAGTAAGTAATGAACGGAACACTTCGTAGAATTTAAAGAAAAAAACGAAGCTTTACCATAATGTTTGTGTGTCTCGCCTCAAATGGCATAAACAAGTGCCCAGCAATAGCTTGGCTTTCCCTTTTGTTACTTTTGCACGTCGCATAGACCTGTAGGAGAGAACGGCTGTTACTGATACTCGCTCTTTCAACATCAGAGTGCCAACGAACCTTCCAACTATGCCAACGGATCAACCAGTGGCTGTCTTCATGATAATCTCAACCGACCTCCATACATACCGAGTGAGTATTTTTTTCCTTCTATTTACACTACGAGGAAAAGACGGCTTGAACCAACCTGAGAGGATCTAAGAACATCATCCTGATTTGTTGATTGAGGCTGTGCAGCGCAGCAAATAGGGTTACAGTGTCACACGTTTTCAATTAAACCAGCCTAGTGTAGACGTTGCTAATGATCACTCCTTTTCCTTTCCAGAAATCAAAGGAAGCAGTCTGTTTGAGCGCACACTGTGCATGGACGCCGTGCACTGGCTCAAGGGAAGAAAGCATCACCACTACAACGTTCACAGCCTGTACGGGCACACCATGGCGGTGGCCACTGTCAAGTAAGACACCTTCGGAGGGTCCAGAGAAGGAGAGGAAGCGGTCGCCGACGTTTCGCTAAAAAAAAAAAAGAAAACGATTCCGCTCTCAGGCCTATGCTTCCGAGTGCATGGTTCATTTCAACACTTTCTTATAGTGTTGCCCACTCTGTGATGGCCATGGAGCCTCATTGAGAAGGCGATGCAGACGCCTTTTTGACACGGAAAGCATGTGCCTATACACCTTTTCCACAAGGACGCAGCCGTCTTGAATGTCGTTACTTCTGGTATAGGTTAAAATATCGTTTTGATCTCTCCACGACACTGGAAAGAGGTCAGGAGAAGTGCGTGATTTTCAGAGATTCTTGTTTGGCTTCACCTATAGTTTCGCGCATATTGCAGGTTGCAATATTTTATTATTTTTTCGTCCCCCCTACCAGATAAGAAGTCCACGGAAGTGAGAACGAAAGGAAACGAAAAACGTCCATAGACAATTGCAAGCATGGCGTCCCGACTGGTGCCCAATGCGTGCATGCGCGTGCTGCGTGAGCGTGACCATTGCTATGGAAAGCTTGCAACTGCGCGGGGGATATGGCGGCGACCAGTCGCCTTGCTTGCAATCGTCTATGGGAGAGCAATATGGCTTGTTCTCCTTACTAAGCGAACCCAGAAACGATACTTTTCGTTTACCTAAATAATGGTGAGCATAAATCCAAGAGAGGCCAACCTCGCGTTGAGCCGAGTGTAAGTTGCGTGATCACGTGCTGCTCGTGTGAGCTGCGTTTGAGTAGTCTCAAACGCATGAGCTGCGTTTGACTGTAGTCAATTAAGGGCGAATCTCACGACTATATAGCATTTCAGTGTTTACAAATTCACAGCCCAGCGTGTGATCTCCAGAGTTCGGCACTCGCCTGTTAGTCGTTTCGGAAAACGAGCACATCGCGCACCATACGCACGAACGCGGAAAATGGTACCGGCCTGAAGCGGTTTCCTGGAAAAGTCTATAGGGAGTATTCACTGGACGCCATATTTGTGGGTGCTGTTTTGAGCGCATGTTCAGAACGAGCTCACATCAATAGGCTGCTAAGACCGGCACTCTCGATGGTGCGGAATGCACGTTGCAAAAGAACTGTGGAAGCTCGCCATCAGCACGCGCTCAGCATTCGCGCACACAGCTATGGCCGCCAGTGAATACACCCTATACGCTAGCAAGCTTTGTGAAGCAAAGACCGAAAAAAAATAACCCATTTCGGACCCTTGAAACTGCACCTTAAAGGGGTACTCCGCCGATTTCTTCATGGTACCCGATTTGCTTGAAATTTTGCTAAACTCGCCAAACAACATCGCCAAAATAGTATCCCAAATATTAGGTCAAAATAACTTTTTTTTACGAAGTTATTGAATTTACAATTTTGGTCCTCACTGTGTTTTTCAAACTGAAAGTCTCTACTGGCAACAACGAAAAAGTGACGTCAGTGGAAGTGCAGGGGTTTACTCTTTGGACTGTAGAATTTGTTCCCAACTGATTCGAAGCAGTTTCATGGTGTCAAATAAATGCTTTGGAAGCTCGCTCCAGTCCCCGCGCTCCAGCACGGAACAAATGATTGGCATAATCTATTTTTTAGACTGCTCGCCCGACTGACAAGCTTGCCTTCCACTGACGTCTAGGCCCTGAGAAGGGCGGGTATATTTGAATGTTGGTTTTTGCATCATTTTCATTTGCCGATTTCGCAATAACTATTATGAATTTCACGATACTAAATAACGTACCAGAAAGGGTAAAGGCCGGGAAGTCAGAAAATATAGTTAGTTGAGGTAGCTCAAAAATCGCTGGAGTACTTTGGGTTCAGACAGGTTGTATGCGAGTATACTTGTATCTAATTTGCGCCAGTTTGCTAGTGCTAAGTATGCAACACTCGAACGCGATATTGTTTGATGGTCCACGACCTATTAAACTATTTACGTAAGATAAATGAGCGATTTTTCGAGTTCCAGCGCAGCATATACTAATTTTGATAGCGTAGTATAACGTGCTGTGTGAATTGAATGGCTAATTTTAATATGACTGCCTCAGAGTTCTATTCCCATGCCGTATCCACATGCCCAACTAATTATATTTGTAATTTGGTTTTCCATCTGCAGTTCTCTGAAGGAGCTGTTCGGTGCCAGACGCAGCCTAGTCATGTCCCGCTCGACGTTCGTGGGCAGCGGTCGCTACGTGGGCCACTGGTTGGGAGACAACGCCAGCCGCTGGCCGGACATGGCACGCTCTCTTCCGGCCATCCTAGACTTCTCGCTGTTCGGCATTCCCCTGGTACGGCATTAGCTGGTTACTTGCAATGTGCGTCCTATAGCGCTCACAATAGGCACCACTTTACGTGTGTTGGTGATACCCCTGTGTGCCATTCGTTCATTCACTGCACACATATAGCGTAGAATTCCGAATGAACGCCCTGTGGAGAGGTAAAGGGGGAGAAATATGACGTGGGCGAGATTTCCTGGTGACTGATTGGTCGGGATTTTACGATACACGCTCATTCGCACCTCATTAATGAACAAATGAAGCTCATTGTTTAGGAAGGAACACTCATTCGTAAACACTTTTATATGCGCGGCAGGTTTACCGCAGTCATTAGTTCCTTACATGGGTGAGTTTGGTGTTACGCGCTTTAAAGCGAAGCAAGGGTCATAGAAGGACGGGCTCTATACTTCGTGTTACCCTACGGTAGACTAAAGCCAGAAGCTACGAACCGCCAGATCCAATCACGAGCCACTTAGACATTGCGTGGTATTTCGCTTCTTTGAACGTATCGGTGCCCGCGTCTCGGATCACTGATGGGAATGGGCGGACAGTGGTTCAGATCGACCATGAGTGACTCAACATTTTTACATCGCAAAGAAAGGCACGACGTATTGGCTCCTTGCAGTGTCAAAGCTATAAAAATGACGCAGCGTTTTTGGATTCGGAGCATTATTCGTCCAAACCTCATCAATGCTAAGCGTGTGATAGTTTAGCGTGGAACGTGATTGGACCTGGCGGCCCGTGGCTTTGGCCTTTAGTCCATCGTAGGATGAGACGAAGTATACAGAACAGTTCTTTGCTCTCTGGCTGTCAACCAGCTACGAAACGTAAAGAAACGAAAACACTCTTTTTGGTTGTTTCTTTTGGTTCACTATATATGCTATTGTGAAACCGCATTGATCACGACCCAGGCACGTGGTGACGCATTTATATGACTCTTGTTTTTAAGAAAAAAGTTATTTGCGGTTTGCAACAATCGGTACGCGGCCCATGAAAAATAAAGTACCCTGTTTTTATTAAGCTGTCAGTTCCTCCAGCTATACACCGCGGTGTTTATAAAGAGTCAACTCGATGGCCTCTGAAACCAACGTTTTGCTTTCCTCGATAAGAGCAACTCCGGCCAAAACTCAAAATGAAATAAATTACTGGTATCGCTGTAGTGACACAGAATACGACCCGAGCCAAAATATTACGTCCGTGGGACGCCGCATTCTCAATTAATGCCGATAATAAAAATGCGACCCGCCGCGAGCCGCTGCTCCTTAGCGGGCAGCCAGCGGGTTGCCGATCGCTAAAGCAACATTGGGCCGTGATGTCAGTATCGTTCTCTTTTTTTCCTCCGGTCCGGGCGTTCCGCGGAGTGCGCTTCTTTGAGCCGCTACCACCGCTACTTCGGCTTGTGATTGGCGTGTCTAGCCGTTGCTTTTATCTGTAGCCCGTGTAGCTTCGGTATAGACTTTTGTTCATTTGCTTGTGAGGACTCCAAGACTCGTTTTAGCGAGCAACTCGGTGCGCCCAAGACTGCCCAGCTGTTCCTCGAAAGATGCCGAGTGCAACTTGTAGCGCTGTTGGTTTCTCAAACAATCCGCTGCACAACCCGGAGGTGCTTTTTCACAAGTTTCCGACCGACCGGAGATTGGAGAAGGTGTGGGTGAACGCTGTTCGACGAGTGGACTTTGGATTTCGGCTTTTACGCGCCCGAGGAAAAAAGAACGAAAAAACAGACGTGTACAGCCTAGCACACGTGTGTTCGGGCGCCGCGGCCCACGCCGGAGAGCCTCAAAGCTTCGTGTCTGAGACTGACCCGCAGCGCGAAAGCGAGAGGGCCCCCAGTACTGTACGTCACTGGCAGCGCGGCGTAGAGCAACGCCGCTCCATCCACGAGACCCGATGACAATTTAGGCCTAGCGACGAATACGGAAAACCGCACGCACGGCGACAGCCGCCGAGTACGGCACCGAACGAGTTCACTCGTTTTTCAGTCGCTAGCTTTTGGATATACAAGCGACGAGTACGGCAGAGCGCACGTACGGCGGCGGCCGCCGAGTATACAGCACCGAACGAGTTCACGGGTTTTCCAGTCGCTAGCTTTTGGGTATACGCACTAACTCTTGCTACATATGCTGGATATCTACCACGTATACAGAATTAAAACAAAATCAGCTTACCTCCTATCTTTAGACGGCTAGCGCAACAGAGATGGGTGCCGCTCGACCTGTGTACTCGATGAACGAGAACGATCCTGACGTCACGTTCACATAGCAGCTGATTTTCAGTGTTGCCGGGGCCTCGAGCGGCCAGTTTCGGCTTTGTTGGCCGCGCCCCAAACAAAACTTTGAGGCGTCGATATCTTAAAACTATGCACAATAACGAGAAAAAATTACACTTTGCAATTCAGGGACGCTGACTGCACTAAAAGCAATCATCATCGCCAAATCAAAAGTATGGACCGGAGTTGCCCTTTAGCATTTGCTGGAAACGTTCTTCAAGCCCAGCATTTTAAAACGAGGATTTCCATCAAAATTTGGATTTGTCGTTCTTTAATTAGTTGGGTCGTGTTAAAAAGCTCGCATCATTGTTCCAGGTGGGCGCCGACGTCTGCGGTTTCTACGACGACGCTCAAGAAGAACTCTGTCTGCGCTGGACGCAGCTGGGCATTTTTTACCCGCTCTTTCGAAACAACAACGCCATCGACAGCACTGTGAGTTCCCAACTATACAAAACTTTAGCTAATCCTTCCCTTAACAGAGTAACAATTTCTTAGGATGGAAGGAAGGGGATATCATGAAGACAGAGAGATAGATTAACCCGTGTAATTGTCCCGGTTTGCGAGCCTGTGCAGGAGGGTAATAGGGAGGTTAACGGACAGATTTAAAGAGGAGCCCTAGGGCAGTCAGCTGTCTGACAAGTACTACTTGACCGTCATATCGAAACAAACACTTCCATCAATATGGTAATAAAGCGTGCACCCTCAAGAAAAAAGGGTGTCAAAAGGTGTATTCTCACACCCTTTGTCCCGTATAATACACCCCAAACTTCAAATCGAGGTACAGCGCCCTACAGTCGAACAGACGGCCCGAAATTTTACGAGGGGCTTGATAGCCGTGTGGTACAACTTATTAAGATACCTAATGTACATTTTACTGACTACAACAACAAAAAAAAAAAAAAAATCGGGGTTTTTTTTGGCCTTACTGTAAAAGCTCGGTGTTTTCTTTTGGGGGGCATGTGATACGTACTATAGCTAATTAAAATGTTATATCGCACCATTATCAAGCCCCTCGTAAAATTTGGGGCCGTCTGTTCGACTCTAGGACTCAGCACGTCGAAATGAAGTTTTGGGGTATTTTAGATGGGACAAAGGGTGTAACGATACACCCTTTTACACAGTTTTTTCTTGAGAGTGTGGGAAACAAACCACGGGCACCTGCATATCCCAACTGGTGGCGAGCAGGGACTGTTCTCGAAAGCCAAAGTTGAAATTTTGCTTCTTGTTTCTTTTTTTTTTTATTACAATCGACTCAAGTAAGACTATGCTAAAATCATAACTGCATTTCAACCCAACTAAAAAACAACAACAAAAGAACAGTGCCATGCATATTTTGGAATCTACACCACTAAAAAATTGGCTAGTTTAGGGATGCTAAAAGCCAGCTCATTTTTAATGATAAATTTGTTTGCAAACGCTTCGGAGTGGGGAGAAAAAGGCCTGGCAAATTGAGCGACAATAAAAACCTCGCGTCACTTGCCATTTCTTAAAAAAAAAAAAGAGGATATTTCCTGTTTCTCTTCCACGAACGCCAAACGCATTGGTGACGTTCTTTCATGGCAACCACAGAAGCCATGCTAAAACTATCACCTTCTCACAAAGTCGCTTTCGAAAATTGTTTCCGAGTACGTATACACGCACTTGGCCAGTGCCTCTACCGTACCGTGTTCTCTGCTGAAGCACATTGCACCTACATCACTACTATGTGTTTGCAGGTAAGCGAGGTGACCGTGGCACCGACTAGTGGTGCAAATCCGGTAGCCGGTGGTTGTTCCCAATTGTTCTCGCCAGAACAAAACAAATTTGTAGTTGCGAGATGTCCGCTGCAGAAAGCAGGCGTTCAACAGCAAGGTCACAACAATGGCCGCTAATGTGACGTCAGTGTAAACCATATATAGAACTGCCAGGAACATTCTCATGCCTTTTTTACATTCACTCAGCTTGACACAAGCACACAAACAAATTCTAAACAATCTCGCAACCAATCTTGATTTTATAAATTAGGCCGCCCCAATGTGTACGTGTTTTCCTGTTCTAGGGTGCGCGATTCCCGCCATGGCCCGTTTTCATCTGGATGAACATTGTGTCGGCTTGTAGTTGTCTGGTTGCTACTGCGTAGTGCACGCCAAAGATTCCCGGTTAGCAGTCTTCCTGCGTGGGCTAAATTTATCATCTACATCATTAATCAGTATCGCCAACCATACCTCAAAAAAAAAAAAAAAAAGCGAACCGCGATCCTTTGTTGTTTAAACATTCCGCGTGTAATTTGTTTATGTTTTTGTTTTTCCTAGCCTAAAGTATCAGGTCCTCATTTCCCTTTTTTGTTCTGAGGCACGTGATAAATCGCCGTCCGGATCGACCTCTATTGGGAAATTTTCTTGGTGCATGCATTTGGAGAGCGTTTTGAAGCGCTATTTCTTTGGTACCCTCTTGGAGCACTTGCTCGACATCTGCCGCACTAAAGACGCGAGCATGAAGCGCTTTTGGATCGCTCCAAAACCACCGACGGAATTCTACACAAGATTGCCCGGTAGCGTATTTTTAAAAATTGGTCGTGGATATGTTTCTACAGCCTTGAAGTTAGTCTGGCTCTAACGAGCGACTTGTCTCTCAGCTGTAGATGAGCAATTTAGCCAGTGCAGTACAACTGTTAGCCTGGAATGGTTAACGCACATCACGCAGTAGTGATACACGACCGTACACCGGTACGATGCTCATCCAAATCAAAACGAGCAGGGCTGGGGATTGAGCCGAGGACCCTGGGTTTTGCAGTGCGAGCTTTCTCTCCACGTGCTCCTAACTGGTGTGCGCTAGACCACTCGACCACCGATCTCCCTAGCATATTTGCAAACGCGAGGCGATACTCGCGCCGGATTGGCTCCTCCTCGAGGAGGACGCTGTGCTGTCTCACATAGCAACAGGCGGTTGCTGGTCCGGCCTTGATTGTTCGCGTTGCGCGTGTAGCACTGGTGCGCGTTTTAGCTTTTCACCTACCCCCCCCCCCCCCCCCCCCCCTTCTCTGTTCACGCCGCTTCGCGGCTTCGTTTTTTTCACGCGAAGCTGCGTGAAAAAAAAAAGGAAGGCAAGGGGGGGGGGGGGGGGGGGTGCAGGTTAAAACTTAAAACGCGCGCCCATTTATAGTGATTCACGCGCAACGTGCCGACTGCCGGCCGGCGCAGCAACCGCTCGTCGTCCTGTGTGACAACACAGCTTCCTCCTCGAGGAGCAGCCAATCCAGCGCGAGCGGCCTTGCCATGCCGCGTATCGCCTTCCGTTTACAAATACGTTGTCCAGTATTTTGCCGCCTCCTTATATCACTCAATTCTTTTTCTTTTGTTTTTGTTTCAATTGTTCCTGTGATTTTGTTTGTTGAGTTTGGATGCTGAAAAAACTCGCACGACCCTAAGAAGAAGGGCATTGATGCACCCTATAAAAAGAGTGTGGTTATCATTTGGGCCCGTTCTCGTTCTGACCTTCTCGTTTGCACCTTCTCAAAATGAGCATTCCCAAAAACGTCCCTCTCGGATGGATCTGCCGCATTTGATCCGTTCTCGTTGCATCCTTCGAGTTTCATCCTCTAAGAAAAGAAAAAAGAATCAAATGGGGGCACTTTGAGGTGTCGGTGTTATGGCTGGGTCATCACGTATCTCTGAAGAAGCTTCTTTAAGCCCGCCTCCCCCCTCCCCCCCAAAAAAAAAATTGGGTTGTGTGTGTGTTTATACAGCCTAGAACTTGGTCTGCCTCACAGGGGCGACGAGTCTCCCAGCTGTAGATGAGAAATTTAGCCAGTGCGGTACAGCCGCTAGCCTGGGGTCTTTAACGTGCATCACGCAGTAGTGATACACGACCGCACGCCGGTACGATGCTCATCCAGATCGAAACGGGCAGGGGTGGGGCTCGAACCCAGGATCCCTGGGTTCTGCACGTGCTCCGAGCTGGTGTGCGCTAGACCACTCGGCCACCAATCCCCCTGATCCCCCCCTCCCAACTCGCCTATACTCTGTGTCACCTTGTGTTGTACCGCACGAAAGGCTACAAGCGCGAGCTCCTTGCTCTATGGCACACCTCGGCGGCACAAGCTCCCGTGCACCAAGGGCAGCTGCCAACGCTATGAGCTCGCGCTTCTAGCCTTCGCTGCGGTACAACATAAGGTGAAACGGAGTATAGACGCAAGCGCTCACATACGCATGCACACGTGCATGCTTTAGTCTTGCGGTTTGGCTAATAGTTCCTGGAATACGCCCCCTCTGCTCTTGAAACGCGTGCTGCAAAGCTGAAAACCCGCTCGTTGGGTTGTCCGGAAGTGCTAGCAGGCGCTGGGCAATAAAACACCAAACTGCTCTTTTGTGTCAAAGGAAGGCTTCGTATTTCTCTCTTTTCCCGGAAAAGTGCACTTGGAGTGGTTTTCTCGCCCCCCCCCCCCACACACACACACGCACACACACACACTCCCTACTCTGTTTTTTTCTTAAATTGGACTGCAGTATACGCTACGAGCCGTCGGTGCTTATCCAGGGCTGAAAACGTATTACGCGCCATTCGGTCCTATATAGTGCGAACGGGACCAAATGCGAACAAACCGGTTTAGATGTTTTGAGAAGGTTCAAACGAGAAGGTCCAAACGAGAATGGGGTGCGAGAAGGTCCAAACGAGAATGGGATGTTTTGAGACACACCCATAAAAAGAAGCCACCGTCAGCGCAAGAAACACGGGGTGACAAGTTCCGAGCATTATCGTTCAACTAGCCATTCAGAGGGTGGCATTAGCCTATATGAACAGCGACGAACTAATCACGAAGAATGAACGTAACGATCAGCGCACTACCTTTTAATGGCGCTTCTCCCTGTATAATTTTACGGCGACTCACTGTTGTCTACAGGCACAAGACCCGTCAGCCTTCAGCGAAGAGTTCCAGGCCGTTGTGCGGCGAGCACTGCGCGTACGTTACGAGCTGCTCCCTTTCCTGTACACCCTGTTCCATCACGCGCACACAAGAGGATCCACGGTGGCAAGACCCCTGTTCCACGTGTGAGTCTCGTGTGCGACTTCGCAGCCCCGTTCCGTTCGAAACTAGAGAGAGAGCAGCTATAAAAGAACACGAAGAGAGTTTCGCAATTTAGTGGCGGACGCTTCCGGTGCGCAGATGTGGTGCATGTGACCGCACGTCCGCTGTCACGTGATGAAGAGGGCAGCGGGAAGAGAGCTGCGAGGCAGTGCGAAGACACTTGCAGACGATCGAGGATTTCGCCTAGCAGCAACCACGCGGCGGCCCCGATCGAACATTTGAACACACTCAAAACATGGGCCATATAATGAGAACATATTCGGCGAGCAAGTGGTCTAAATTGTTCCTTCGGCGCATCCGAACGCAAAAAGGGGCGCGCAAATCAAAGCGCAGCATAGAGAAGGCGTAAAGGACGCGCGATTACGAGGCAGACACGCTCGCGCCGCCATTGGTTGAGGTCGGAGGTAAACAAACGCACCTGGACGTATTCGGGTGGTTAAACAAGCGCGCGAGGGATCCCAAGCACCCAAGTGGCTGACCAACATGAACAACATATGCGTTTTGATCGCTTCGATTCAGCGATTTCAAACTGCAATCGTGAAGAAAAGATTCCCGGTTTTCTGTGCTTCGTTTTTAGCAGTTCGGCTCACTAAGTTGGCGTTTATTTTCCTTAAATAATATCGTAGCACAAAGTAATATATGCGGGTAGGCATTCGAGCCCAGAAAGTGAAAGTACAGCAGTAGCAACCTAAGGAATGTGTGTGGTTTTTCTTGCAGCCTCTCTGATCTCATATCGTTTAAGGAGCAACGTTATGGCTCGAAAATCATTAATTTGACCGAGGGGCGGTTTAGACGTGTAGTGGTTATGATATCGTTCCGTTATTCTTTATATGGTAGTGCCACCTTTTATATCACCCGATGCCGGCATGCAGCGCGCGATCACGAATACAAAAAAAAAAAAAAAAGAGTCGTGAATCAAAATGGCGACGTAATACTCGCTAACCCAGCAAAAACTGAACTAAACTCTGGAACCACTTGTTTGCGTCTAGCAGAAAAAAATCAATAAAAAATAATCGTTATTTAAATTGTCATATAAGATACGTCCTACAAGAGACGTGTATCCGTTAAGGTACCCTAGGGTAAAGGTCCGCAAACGTTTCAGGCCCGCGACTCCCCAAAACACATAAAACTGCCAATCGAGCCGCCCGTTTCCCTGAGCCTCCCGCAACCCCTATTTGCGCATCTCGGCTCGAGGATACCAGTCTTTACTGAAATAAATAGATTTTACTGGTGTTTTTACACCTCCAACTTTTCTGCTGCTGATATCGCAACGTAAACGACTAAGAAGTGTGATTTCTTCTGAGATTGAAACGAGGCCGCCGAATATAGCTCATGTTAAATTGTGTTGCTCAGGTTCCCAGACGACCCGACTGCACTCGATGTCGATCGACAGTTCATGTGGGGAGAGTCGCTGCTAATCACGCCGGTGCTTGAACAGGTGAGGAAGGCCCTTTAAATATCTCTGTACCTGAGAAGAACGTTAACTCTCTAAGACAGGCCAGTCAAATGGGCAGTGTGGAGAAATTTCTGAATGCCTACCTTATTGTTCCCAGTTGTCATGCTCAAGTTTTCAGGATCAAGTCTAGTCACTGTGTGCCGAAATTGCAATGCGAAACTGTTGTTTTGTTGCAGGACAGCAGTCAGTATTGAAAATTGCGACATGAGCCCATATGCCTTCTAAAAAATATCAACGCCCAAGAAGTTATATTGCACCTAGAGGAATCTATAGATGCGTTCAGTTCAGCTGTACTTCGTCTCGCCTTACCATAGACCAAACACCAAGCTTACAAGCGCGAGCACGTAGCTTTGACTGGTGCTACCGCTGTACGTGTAGTGGTGCAGTCGTGGCTCGATCGAACGCAAGGAGCTCCTCGCTTGTAGCCTTTACCATTAGTTCACGTTCAGGTGAGACGTTCTAGATGGGGATGAGCTGCATGCATTACGAGGTTCCAATAAACTAATACAGCGAGAATTGAGCTGAAATTTGACTTCTTTAGAAAGTTGTATGCTCAACAAATTTTACGTTCAAGCTCTCTTTTCATTTCCCGAAATAGTTGTCACCCAATAGCGAATTGACGGAACAGGCGCGTGGTACAAAGTTTGTATTTTAGTTACGACTCATGAAATGTTGTTATTTTGACAAAAGGCTCATTCACACAATCGCGTTTGATTGCGTTGAGACTGCTTGCGTCGAGCTGTTGCTATGGCGACCCCTACGACAAGCCAATGGGGAGGCGTTGGGCTGCACGACGCAACGCAGCGCAACGCAGCGCAACGCAATCTACGCAACTGTGTGAAGGAGCCTTAAGTGTTTAGGTTTTACAAGGTAAAAGCGCAACAATTCGAGACAAAAAAAACAAGGAGGGCACAGACACAGCGCTGCGTTAATGCACAGCATATAAACTAACGCCTCTAAGGCACCTTAGACGGCTCGCGAAAATTAGTTTCTTAACGTATCCCGCTACAATTTACTACGAAGGTGCAAGCAGGTGGTGGAAGTTTACAGTGAAAAAAAATCAATAAATAAACTTACCACGTTCAAAAAAAAAAAAACAAAAAAACAACTGTCTTGGGCTATTTATGCAGCCACTTCACAGACGATGCACGCATCGGGAGAAGTGCTGGCGACAGATGGCGTAGGCCGCGTCAAGGAGGCGCCTACCGATTCGGGTTCTTTTGTAAGATCGTCTGCTCAAACCGAATTGCCCGGCGCTTTTTCGGCGCGGAGTACGCCATCTGTCGGCAGCACTTCTCTCCATGCGTGCATCGTCTGCGATGTGGCGGCGTAGATTGCCTATCACAGTTTTATTTATTTTTTTTTTTTTAAATCCAAATAAACTTGTAACTTTCTTCCACCACCTGCTGGCACATCTGTGCAGCGGAGCTGGTCCTAAGAGATCGCAAGAGGATTAAAAACCGGTCTCGTCTCTCTCAGTCGTACTCGGTTGCAAGAGTGTGAACGGGCCTTTAGTTTGCACGCCTTAGAAAACGTCCTGATGAGTTAAACTTGAAGAACATAGAAAAGGGCACGATGTATAAGAAATGAGGTTCAACAAGGCTCATTCTTTTTTAGGCATCTCGCCCCTTTTCTTTGTTTTTTCAGTTTAACCCATCAGGATGAACGCTGTGTGTATGCCTTCCTTGTTTCCTGTTTCTCGTTGTTCTTTTTTTTCCCCTCTTCTGTTTTGTAAAATGATCAACCAACTTGCCCAACTTTCTGCCTTGTTAAGCGTTTAGGATCTGAATGCCGCGCACATTCAACTACTATTATTCTAAATATCGTTGAACGGACTGGCGTTTCAGGGGGTCGTCTCCGTCGAGGGCTACTTTCCGGCCGGAACGTGGTACGACTACCACACGGTACGCAAACTGTGTTTCTATACTGAGTTTCACTTTCCGCCTGCCCGCGCCTGTCCGCCGCGGGCAGGCGCCGCGGGCAGCGCCTGCCCGCGGTGGACGCTGCCAGCCATCCAAGCCAATCTAGTGTCTTGGTGAGTGTCACGCAGACTTGTACACGTTACTGAAAAAAAGTAACTGATTACAATTACAATTACTACAGTCAAAAAAGTAACCGATTACCGTTACTGATTACTGCCTCCCAGAAGTAATTGAACAATTACTGCAAAGTAATTGATTACTTTTCAAGTTACTTTCACGTTACTTCTTATTGCGATGACAGAAATACACAAATACACAGTAAAATATTGCGTACACAATTTTGTTTGGTTATTGTTCCCTTTTTTGTTTTCAGACCCGGACCTTGTCGTGTAGCTGACGCGTCGACCTAAGGAACAAAGCCCACTAAAAAGTCAATAGCGAGTTCCCGCTTCCCGTCTACTTTATCAGCAATCTGCAACGAGATCCGGAACTCCCCAGCCAAGGCTGGTGGCGCGCTTGTAGAAGAGCGTGGCGCAAAAGAAAAAAGGATTTGCCGACTAATCCTAGTTTTATTTTTTTTAGATGTTAAAAAAATGTCAATCATTTTTGCTCCATGGCTGAGTGACTATGTTGATTTTTGTGAGAAAAAAAAAATTGTGGAATGAAAAATGTAATTGGTAATTGTGTAATTGATTTTGTAATTGATTACAGAAAAAAAGTAATTGAATTACTCCGAGCGTTACAGCTTGACAAATGTAATTGAAGCGTTACAAAATTACACTTAACTGTAATTGATTACAAGTAATCAATTACTTGTAACGCGTTACGTACAAGTCTGGTGTCACGTGACCTCTAGAGGGGCGCATCGACGCACGAGGTGCGGAGTCACGTGACACGTTCGCAGCTCGGGATTGGCTGGGATGATTTGTAGCCCCGCGTCGGTCAATCCTAAGGTGAAACGGAGAACACGGTGACACCGTGCACCGGTTTGTTTCGATTGCTCGCCAAGTACTTACGAATTCGCTCTTTCAAATAACGAGCATTCAGAAAGGCTAGTGCCAATTTAATTGAATGATTATTCTGATTTAGGTTTCCGTAATATCCCGACCGATTCCCCACTCCCAAAAGATAACCCACCTTTATTTTTAGCGCCATCTGCTATTTTTTTCTCAAATACACCAAAATATAGCCCACTTCTAGTAATAGCAGGGCCCTGGCCAATGGCGACATCGGCAGAAATGGCGTTACTTAGAAGGACGGGAGGGAGCTAAGCAAACATTGCTGACTGGGAAGGACAGTTGTGCTTGGTTCATCGCCCCTCGCTGCAATCGGAAGTTTCGCAGAACACAAAATCTAAAACTAGCTTTTTGTTTACTCGTTTTTTGATCGCACACCGAAAGTTAGTTTGCTCCTTATTTTTACCCGATTTGCTTTGGAGTTTAGGTGGGCTATCTCTAGGGATAGTAAGGTATAGTAAGTATAGAGAGGATGCATCTTCAGCAGTAATAACGCTTGTTAACAAGTTTTCTTCGGAAACCGAAAAGAAAAATCTGGTGTTGATGCAATAGCTATTGTTGTAATATTTTTGTTCCAATAAGCGGTGTCCTTTATGTCAGTTTTAACTGGATTCTTTGATCCACGGTCACACTGGTAATATGACATTCACAAAAACCCGTCTGCTGACAGTCTGTGCCGTGTTTGTCTCTTGTCACATTCACACAGTCCTGTCATGTGTGAAAGAACTGTCACACACGACAGTCCTGTCTCATTGGCCATCTAAAAACTACCTGCAGTCATGTTCGAAGTCATACACGTCTGTGTGAATCAAGCAACCATACTTCAAACAGACACGTCATTATGTCTGCAGCGAGCGCCGTATTTTCTTTTTTGTGTGTGTGACGTATGAGCAGTTAGTGCGATTTAAGCCGGGGTCACACTGCACATACATCAGACAAAAAGATAGTTTGAAAACTCGAGCCACTGCAATAGCCGTGGTTCGAATGCTGCGTGCCAAGTGTTCTCCTCGAACCCTTTGCTATGCGGTATTCGAAGCGTGCGGATGCCGCGGTGACTCGCGTTTGAATCCGTGAATACAAATGGTATTTTATATGATGTATAAAGCAACGTGATCCCGGCTTTAGTGTTCACGTGCGCCGAAGTCCCAAGTGCACAGCGTGACGCTGTTGGCGTGAACGAGCTCGTCTCCTTTATAAATGATGGGTTGCCACAAAAAAAAAAAAAAAAAAAAAAAAACTATTAATATGGTGAAGAGTTTTTTTTTTTTTTTTTTAACCAACTTACGTAAGCGGAAATCTTGTATGCCCTCCAGTCCCCCCTTCGAAGTAAAATGCGAAGCGCCGATGTTCGCGCGAACAGCTTATCGCGGGCTGTAGAGTTTATAAGTTATTCCTCTCAAACTCTATTTCGTCCCTCATTCACGTACCATGCAAAGTTTGTTTAGTTCCTTTTAGATTATCGCAAACGTTTTCACAAAGAACACCCCCCCCCCCCCCCTTCCCCGCCCAGAGAAATTGTGCAAAACCTAAATAGCCGTCAACGTGTGATCAGTCACGCGAGGTGGAGTTCACTTTACTCTTGTGATCGCCTTGAGAAACATGAACGCATCTCCACGTGGTGAACGATGTTGATTGGGGCGAAGCTCTGGTGGTGCTTGTCTGCGCAGACGCTGAGCCGCAGCATGCCGAGCCTTTCGTTCGTTTTCATCCATGCCAGAAAGAGAATGTGTGGTATGGAACGTGGTTATATACGCATTTGACCGCAGCGCTCTCTCGTCTATAAACGTTGAGCCGATGCATGCAAAGTTTAACGCGATTATATACGCATTTGATCGCAGCGCCCTCTCCTGTATAGACGTTGAGCGGCTACATATGCAACGCCTCATTCATGACATCCCCAGTTCTTGAGTTACTACCACATCTCAGAGCCCCCTACTCGTCCCGCAGTCGTGGCCGAGTGGTTAAGGCGATGGACTAGAAATCCATTGGGGTCTCCCCGCACAGGTTGGAATCCTGTCGAGTGTCGACTGCTCAAAAAAAATTTTTTTTTCATCATTGTTTTGACCTACACGGGCGCGTGAGTACACGTGCTCGTGCTCACGAGCACGAGCACCAGCAAGATCGATGTGAGCACGGACGCCGGACGGACAAGGCTAGACCCTAAGGAGCTTCGCCCCTAAAAGTTAATTTGGGCAGATCTACCGTAGAGCGCCTACAGGCCAATTCCTGGGCCGAAAGCAAGAGTTGTGTTCTCGAAACTGCGAAATATGTGTTCATTTCAGGGCCGCCAATTTTCTCAAGCTGACAAGGGACAATGGCTTACCGTGTATTCCCCGATTTCTGACCCCGAACGTCCGTGCAACTTGCACCTGAGGAGCGGATACGTGTTCCCCACGCAGGCACACGGGAACACCACCAATGTCAGGTAAGCCTGATGCACCCTTCATATCAGTCGAGGGATACTGGATATTCTAGGGGCACTAGGTTCAAGTTTTCCAGAGCATGATGAAGAAAATTCAGTCATGCTTTGACCACGTTAGTTTTTTTCTCTTTCTACGCGTTACGTGGTGCAGCGAGAGACCCAATAAAGTGCTCATTTATTCACTAAAGCACGGGAAGTGAGGCCACGCTTCATTCTCGAACTTTCTGACTCTTTTCACAGAGAAACGGAACAAAATGGGGTGCTTCCAGCTTCGACCGCTGAGAAGCTGTAATTTCGCAGTTTGTCGGACGCCGAGAATCACGAAAGAGGCATAGAATTGGGAATAAATACAACAAAAACAATTTGGGAATAAAGTCAGCCCTGGTCTGCATTCCTTAAGCTGATATTATGTTTATATCCTACCTTGCTAGCTTGTGTGTGGCGCTATCATAGGGACTGGCGCGTGAGCATTGCTGTGAAAAATGCTTTTCTTTCAAAATGACCCCATAAATAAAGCTCTTTCGAAACAAAATACAGTTAGTGCGCAGGCGAGCTGGTGGAAGTTTTCCACGATGTACTTAACCGGAGAATGGGGCAGAAGGATGTTATGCCTGCCAAAGTTTTTTTTCCTCCTTCTGCCCCAGTCTGGGGTTAAACACATCATAGCTCTTCATAGAATTTTTACCACTTTCTCTCCATGCTTCAGATAAATTTAAAGGCAAAGTGTGGCTACTAAGCCCCCTCGGGGTTGTCCATACTAGTAGAGTTTGGTAATCTTTCGAGGGCTCCTCCCGGGTCCAGGAATCATGGCAGGGAGTCTGTTGACCAGAAAATAAAGTGGCCAGTCCACCATTTTGTGCAAGCGCCATAACACAAAATGACTGTAAAGCCAAGTTGAGGTGGCCAGATCTAAAGAGCTACTATCACAGCTCGTCGGTCACATTCTTTGTGTATTGACACTTCATGATTAGAGCTGTCATTGGTGACATCGGTGTGTTTCACCGTGATGTTCAGCCACCGAAACTTGTGATGCCGAAGCCACACAAAACCTGCGTTGGTGAGAACCCCGTTATATAAAGAAATGCAGGACTAACATTTCATGTGATTATATTGATAATGTTAACCGATGGGAATAAAACAAAGCATAAATTGAAGGTTACTTCTGTTGGCACATACCTGCCTGTGCATGTAGCTCTGTACCGTCAAAGTCTAGGAAATTAATGATCCACGACACTATGCTCCTCGAGTGTGAATGTACCTGCATGATATCGCATCAATTGACAACTTTTCGTAAATTCCCCTACAGTCGCAAGAATCCGATGAAACTGATCGTTGCACTGAACAGCTCTGGAGAGGCTCACGGCGACCTGTACTGGGACGACGGTGAAATGAGAGGTCAGAGATTTTAATTTACCTAGGACTCTCGATGCTTTTGGATCGTGTCAGAACGTTCCTGAGTACAATCATTGCTTTGGCACATTTAAGAAGCTTCAGGGGTGCCAGAAACAGCTGTTTTAAAATTAAATAGAATGAAACTCTTGGAATTCATGTGAAGGCATATTTTCACAGGAAGTTGTATGGTCAGAAATTGGTACATATTACATGATGGCAGCAGTGTGCACCTTTTGTTTTGCTGCATTATTGTAGCATAGGATGGTTCGACTTTGGGCTGGGTAATATGTAATGCTATGAAAATAATTGAAAAATATCTTGCATGCAATTTGGAAGATACTGAGTTGTAGGATGTCTTTGTTATAAATTTAAGTGACGACAACGTTTAAAAGAGGTATTTGCGTAGCGACATTCGGCGAGCATTGCCTTTTTATCACTAACTGCCAAAAAAAAAATAGCGTGTTTTGCATTTGTAATTTACCGTTATAATTGGACAAACTATCAAACGTTGATTCGCTTCCACCAGGTCCTTCGTCATGGTACTTTTTTCATATTTTAGATGAACCTTCTGTTGCACTCGCTACGCTTAATTCATTGCCTGTAAAATATTCTACAGCGTGGATAAAGTACTATAAATAATATGACCGTCAAAATGTAAATAATATGACTGTAAAAAAAGACAAAAACTATTTCTATATAGAAGTAGCTTTTTTTTATTATTTGGTCTGCGTTTTTGAACTGCAACTTCTGGAGATTGTCTATTGTGAAATATGTGTGGAGTTAATTTGTCGGCAATAAATTTTTTCAGATGCCCAAACGCTGGGAGAATACATTTACTTGACATTCAAGGCAGCGAACGTAAGTACACCTCTGCTCAGCTTCTGAGCTCTGACTTAACAATATTATTATACAAAATAGCTTTTTTTTTTTTTTGTGAAATCGCCTTATGATATGTTGCCATCATTGCAATTAGCTTACTTATTGATTACTGATTGCAATTAGCTTACTTATTGATTACTGCTAACACCAATTTATTTGACCGCGATAGTATACTAATGCTGGAGCATGCTGAGGGACCTTACACATCTTGCAGATAAAATGGCACAAAGCGGCAAACGCAGAAAACGTTTATTTGATAGGAAAAGACGCAGGAACGTGGTTACGGCACCATCTATCACACTTTCCGAGTGGGTCAGTCGGAATCGTAGAATGCCAACAGACACCAGAAGATGCCGCTGCATTTCCCGATTAATGGTAAAAGGTGGAATTGTGTTGGCTCCTGTTTTATATATATATAAAGAAATCAGCAAAAATTATCCCCAACGCGTGCAAAGCAGAGCGCAGATTGGTGGTGCTCTTGTGTGTAAAAGTTGAATATACTGCAGCCATTAGATTACTTCAGATGTCACAAGATGTGCGATCATAGCTCTTCATTGCTCCGATCAACCAGTAGCACGAGCACCTTCCTCTATGCCACAGCTCTGACGTCATATCGCTGAGGTGGTGCTAATCTCCGTGCAGCGCGTGCGCACTTTCGAATCTCGTTTCTGCTCACGCGCAGTGCCTAGCACTTGTTTGGGGAGACGCGGGCTTGCTTGTACACGAGGTGTTGGTCTAAAGCGGGCCTTTCCCTGAAAAAGAAAAGAAGAGCAAAATGTCATCTTTTTTGCAGAACACGCTGACCATCGCATGCTTTCAGTACAAAAAACTGTTTCAGTCTACGTTCGACCAGGTGGCCATTATGTCCGTGCGTGTGCTAGGCTTAGATAAGAGGCCGGCCAAGGTCGAACTGGATGGCTTCTATCAACTCTCGAGAAGGCAGTATCGGTGGCATCACAGCAACAAGGTAAGTTTTTTGTTCTGAGCACTCTTTATGACGGACCTCTTTATCAAGTTACGGACTGTTCTTGTCAGTCTAAAATATTCAACAATGGTGTGCTTTCGATCGTAGATGGTTGTAAAATATTAAGGCGAAAGCCCTTACTTGTCCCATTCAGCGAAAAGGCGACGTATAAAGCTTTAAAAATATGATTGAGCGGCAGGTGCCGCTCAATCGTATACGCAAGGACGACGCTGTTCATCCGTGCTCGTTGTGCGCTTCGTGCAATGCACTGTGAGGCGATTCCGTCTACATTTACGGCCTCGACATCGGCAGCAGCGTCTACATCTACGGCGGCTTCCGCAGACAAACGTGGCCGCCCACGCAAATACGCAGCAGCATCCTTAAGTGTCCTCCTCTAGGCGTCGTCACGTCGTCCCCTAGGCGTCGTTTTCGACGTCGTCTTAGACGTCGTCCTTTAGGTCATTCTAGATGTCGTCCTAGACGTCGTTCTTGACATCGTTTTCTAGGACTGTCATCCTCGACGTCGTCCCCAGACGCCGTTCTTGATGTCATCCTCTATGTCGTCCTTGAGGTCGTTTTAGACGCCGTACGTGGCGTCGTCGATCTCTAGGACATCGTCCTATACGTCGTCCTAAACTTTAATAGTTGTACAAACATTACTCGAAAACATTTCTCTCGCGGGGCACAGAGCCGTATATGAGGAGAGCTTGGCCACCATAGCGTTCCTTACCGAGTGAGCCAATTAGCCCGCGGCGCAGAGCCAGAGGCGTGAGCGCATGCGCTTGAAGTTCCGGCTCCTCCCAGCTGAGCGGGGAGGGCCGCCATTTTCATTCATTCGCCCGGCGAAATGCATGGGATTGACATTCCGAATTTCGGTTCTTTCCTTTTTTTTGACAGGCCCTGGAAAGAAAATGATATAGTGTTATTCTTCGGTGGCTTAAAAAGCTAATGGATAAAGTTTTTCCACGTTTGAACGCAAACTTTTATTCAGGCGAAAAAGAAATAAGCCCGTGGCAGACGACGCATAGCCTCAACATTGCTCCGCGCCGACAGCGTTGCGTCAAAATGGAGGTCGACTCTTCTTTACTCCCTTCTTTCTCTCTCAGTTCTTCAGCGCTCTCCTTCGTTTCCTTCACCATTCTTCTCTCCGGCGCCTTTCTACACGAAAACAGTCTTGAGTGTCCTCCTGTATTTTTTTTTTTCTGTCATGCTATTCCATTAGCTTTCAGAAATGTTTTGTTTACTGTGCTGAAGAAATCCGGGGTCACAGTGCTTGTACATCCTACAAAAGACAGTCTGCGTACATATTTGAACGCGAGTCACCGCGAGATCTATGCTTCGAATGCCGCATGGCAACGAGTTTAAGGAGGAAACTTGGCACGCAGCATTTGTACCACGGATATTGCGGTAACTTGTTTGAGACCGTCTTTTGTATGATGCATGAGCAGTGTGACAACGGTTCAAGGTTGGTTATAAGAAAAGAAAAAAAAAGTTTAATAAAAGAATGGGGAGAGAAACTATCCAAGAGTACTTCACGTGTGTCGGTTTTCCACTTTCCCTGTTGAAAAAAGTTAATATAAAGTTTTGTTGCTGAGTGTTAATAAATTGCACAGAGATGGGAAACTTCATCTTGCATACCGGTGCTCACGCTGTTCCTTAAACAGAAATAATACGCGGGAAGTCATTAAATCAAGATAAAACGCACCAAGATCTTTGTCTTCCCATGTGTTGCAGTGAGGTAGGGGTATTTTACTTTATTATTTATAAGCTCATTTCTATTAATATTTTCTGTTCTTGTTGTTTTCTTTTCCCTTCCCTAGGTTATGGATCTGAAGAATATTCTAATACCGCTAAGGAAGAACACAACCGTGCGCTGGTCAATGTCGTGACAGTCCTTCAGTTTCTGTGACATCTATCTCTGAAGACGACGAAGATGAGAACGAAACTGTGCCTCGAGATCTCTCTTACAGTGTGCTACCTTCTAAGTCAGACTGGCACGTCAGTGTGAGTTCGTAAAAGAAAAAGAAAAGCCCCCGAGGTCTCCAAGGGTGCTGACACCACTGATCTCTATGACAATTGCTGGATCGCGCTTCCCCGCTTGTTCGCTGCAGCGCAAGTGAAGCCACCGGGCTTCACTCGCTTGGGATACGATTTGCCGTTTTTGCTAGCCTTTGCTGCGGTTTTCCAGCGTGCTGACGACACGTTTTCTACTCGTTCGTCATCATTCGCCGAATAAGTTTTTTGAAGACTCTGTGTATTGTTGAGACTTGCCGTTGTGAACACGTGGAAAATTTTACGAAAGTGCAGTGTCGCAGGAAAAAGGCACAACGCGTCGAAAGGAAGGGCTGGCGGCGTGTTCAACGCGTCATTGGCACGCCGAAGTGCCGTGTCTCTGTGCCTTCGCACGCTTGGATACCGACCAAGAACCGACGCCGTGTGTATGTGTTCAGCGAGTGCAATGTGCGTGAAGCTGTTCGTGCCTCTGGATCAGCGTCTTTTCCTCTCGCGGTTTAGGAACGAGCTTAATCCAGCGTCCACTAGCGACGGAAGATGGGGAGAAGGTACGTCTTTTTTTCGTCCTTAGACGATTTCCACAATACCGTGCACAACAGCTCCTCATCACTGATCAGTGCTGGCTTATTATCAACCCACTTAATTGCACTTGACGTTTGAGCGCGGCTCGCCTAATTGTAATTGGTCAACAGATTGCACACGACCATATCGGCCGCGCTTCAAAGATTTTCATTCTCGTCGTCTTGTACTTTTGCTTTCGAAAACCCCCCTGGCTCCACAACGTTGCCCTATTCGTGCTCCCACGGAATCTATTAGAGTAGATTTGGGACATAGCCATGGTTAATATAGTACATAAGAACACGTACAGATCTCCCCCTTTTATTGATAGCAACTCACCGGAACAGCTGGACGATCCAGAACTCCGTGGCCGATATACATAAATGATCTAAAGGCATCTACGCGCGACACACGTTCAGAACTTTGGGGCGGCGTCAATTCTTGACCGGTATCCAAGCGTGCGAAGGCACAAAGATGCTACACTCGGCGTGCCAAGGAAGCTTTGATCACGCCGCGACACCGGCGACACGCTTTCGACGAGTTGTACCTTTTGACACGGCTTCACGCACATTGCACTCGCTAAACACATTCACACGGCGTCGGTTCTTGGTCGGTATCCAAGCGCGCGAAGGCACAGAGACACGGCACTTCGGCGTGCCAAGGATGCTTTGAACACGCCGCCAGCCCTTCCTTTCGACGCGTTGTGCCTTTTTCCTGCGATACTGCACTTTCGTAAACTTTTCCACGTGTTCACAACGGCAAGTCTCAACAATACACAGAGTCTTCAAAAAACTTCTTCGGCGAATGACGACGAACGAGTAGAAAACGTGTCGTCAGCACGCTGGAAAACCGCAGCAAAGGCTAGCAAAAACGGCAAATCGTATCCCAAGCGAGTGAGGCCCGGTGGCTTCACTTGCGGGAGCGGCAAGCGCGATCCAGCAATTGTCATTGAGATCAGTGGCTGACACTGATCTCTATGACAATTGCTGGATCGCGCTTCCCCGCTTGTTCGCTGCAGCGGAAGTGAAGCCACCGGACTTCACTCGCTTGGGATACGATTTGCCGTTTTTGCTAGCCTTTGCTGCGGTTTTCCAGCGTGCTGTAGACACGTTTTCTACTCGTTCGTCGTCATTCGCCGAAGAAGTTTTTTGAAGACTCTGTGTATTGTTGAGACTTTCCGTTGTGAACACGTGGAAAATTTTACGAAAGTGCAGTGTCGCAGGAAAAAGGCACAACGCGTCGAAAGGAAGGGCTGGCGGCGTGTTCAAAGCATCCTTGGCACGCCGAAGTGCCGTGTCTCTGTGCCTTCGCGCGCTTGGATACCGACCAAGAACCGACGCCGTGTGTATGTGTTTAGCGAGTGCAATGTGCGTGAAGCTGTTCGTGCCTCTGGATTAGCGTCTTTTCCCCTCGCGGTTTAGGAACGAGCTTAATCCAGCGTCCACTAGCGACGGAAGATGGGGGAAGGTACGCCTTTTTTTCGTCCTTAGACGATTTACACAATACCGTGCACAACAGCTCCTCATCACTGATCAGTGCTGGCTTATTATCAACCTACTTAATTGCACTTGACGTTTGAGCGCGGCTCGCCTAATTGTAATTGGTCAACAGATTGCACACGACCATATCGGCCGCGCTTCAAAGATTTTCATTCTCGCCGTCTTGTACTTTTGCTTTCGAAAACCCCCTGGCTTCACAACGTTGCCCTATTCGTGCTCCCACGGAATCTATTAGAGTAGATTTGGGACATAGACATGGTTAATATAGTAGATAAGAACACGTACAGATCTCCCCCTTTTATTGATAGCAACTCACCGGAACAGCTGGACGATCTAGAACTCCGTGGCCGATATATATAAATGATCTAAAGGCATCTACGCGCGACACACGTTCAGAACTTTGGCGCGGCGTCAATTCTTGACCGGTATCCAAGCGTGCGAAGGCACAAAGATGCATCACTCGGCGTGCCAAGGAAGCTTTGATCACGCCGCGACACCGGCGACACGTTTTCGACGAGTTGTACCTTTTGATACGGCTTCACGCACATTGCACTCGCTGAACACATTCACACGGCGTCGGTTCTTGGTCGGTATCCAAGCGCGCGAAGGCACAGAGACACGGCACTTCGGCGTGCCAAGGACGCTTTGAACACGCCGCCAGCCCTTCCTTTCGACGCGTTGTGCCTTTTTCCTGCGACACTGCACTTTCGTAAAATTTTCCACGTGTTCACAACGGCAAGTCTCAACAATACACAGAGTCTCAAAAAACTTCTTCGGCGAATGACGACGAACGAGTAGAAAACGTGTCTACAGCACGCTGGAAAACCGCAGCAAAGGCTAGCAAAAACGGCAAATCGTATCCCAAGCGAGTGAAGTCCGGTGGCTTCACTTGCGGGAGCGGCAAGCGCGATCCAGCAATTGTCATTGAGATCAGTGGGTGCTGATGGAACCATACTCTTGGCATCGGTGCTCAAGTGGCTGACAGTCGTGCCAGCAACGCCGCGGAATGAAGAATGAACATGTGTGTGATTCTATGGTGTAGCGCTTCTTCTGGGAGACAGACATTTTGATGTAGAACAAATGCAAATATTTCTTTCATTTCAGCAAACATCTTTTCATCGGGGATTTAGAATTTTTAGATAAGGCGAAGCCTTGAGGTTCCGTCTCTGCTGTAGCACTGCCAAGGCCTGAGAGGAAACAAAAGCAGCAAATAGAAAACAGCCAAATATGGCGAACGAATTGGAGCCTTGAGTCATGTTTACTCTGCACATTACACTCTATGTGGTATTCACTGCCGGCCATAGCTGAGCTGGCTGCTGCTTCCGCACATTGCACCCGTACCATCAAGATTTTCTCTTTGGGAGGCCTTGCATAAGAACTCGTCCCAAGCATGCGCTGTGTGCAGTCCCCTCAAATATGGCGTCCGGTGAAAACCGCCTATATGGCGAGCAAGCGTTCTGAAATTCGTCTTTGGAGCGTCGGAACGCGAGAAGGGGCACGCCAATCAAGGGGTAACACGAAGAACATGTTGAGAACGCGCGATGACGATGCAGCCAAGATCGCGCCATTTTTTGTCGAGGTCGAGAGGCGAACAAACGCACTTGGGAGCATTTAGGGTTAGACAAACGCATGATGTGCACAAGGAGCAAACTAGGCTTACACCCCGTATTAGCGCCGAGATGTTTTGGTGGCGCCCTCGATCGGTTACCTTTCGTGACGTCATTACCTTATGAACAACAAGTTCGATGGGGTTTGTAATGGGCATGGTGGAAGCCTGAAATCATAGCGCTCTCAAAGCAACACTGCCAACACCGTCAAAATTGAAGTTTTAACATTCCTCTTATTTCCGTCGATGAGACACCCTTTGCTGACGTCATAGTTAGGATTCGGCCAATCGTGGTGGGCCGACCACAGCGACGCTTTCGATCGCTCACGTCGCCAATAGTAGAGACTTGTTACTCTGGTATATACCTTTCTACTGTATGCTAGCGTATACTATATACACTGTATAGTGACTATTTACTGGCGGCCATAGCTGTCTGCGCGGCTGCTGAGCACCTACTGACGGCGAGCTTCCGCCGTTCTTATGCAACGTGCACATTCCGCACCATCAAGATGGCCGGTCTTAGCTGACTATTAATGTGAGCTCGTCCTGAGCATGCGCTCTAAACATCGCCTTTAAATATCGCGTCCAGCGAATGCAACTTTATTCCCCCCTTTATTTGTTTGGTATGTATATATGTATGTATGTATTTTGTGGCACATTCTCTTTGAAACAAGTCTAAATCGACACGCACCCCCCCCCCCCCCCCCCCCCCCCCAAGAAAAGAAATAGTTTTAGAAAAGGAGTGGTTCCATCCCACTAGTTCACTCGTGAATAGACCACCAAGCCTCAAGCCTCTGTTTGGAACACGTGAGGCAATTCTGTCCTTATGTAAACTCGAAAGCCTGGTCGATGCTTGTGACCACTTTTGGTGCACGCGCAAGTGCCGGACATTCGAGAAGCAAATGTGGAACTGTTTCTTCCGCATCAGCACATGCACTGCAGCGCGTGTCCGTCACGTTGGCGTCGTACTTCCGTCGGTAAAGGCAGGTGCGCAAGGCCCCACCTCGTACCTCGATGAGGAGTCTGCTGCCCAGTGTATGCCCATAAAAAGTGATGGGGGCGATTTCGTTTTTAAATGATGCGCAGAGGTGCATGCTCGTGTGTCTTTGCATCTCTTCCTTCCATCGTTGGGCCTCTATGGTCTTAATTTGCGATCGCACCTGGGTGACTCAGTCTTTCTTAGACGTAGGCTCGGCGACCATAGCGAAAGCACCATACTTCGTACCAAGACGGATGACACGTCGCCTCCATCTTGTGTGTACGTTTTGTAGGTTGGTATACGCGAATACCCGTCTTAAGCGTGTTTCACATGCAGCGACTTTGGCCGCGCGATTTCTGCCGTCGCGGCGCTCGTGCCGCTCAACCGCTGGTGC